TAGGTGGGTGCTTGGATGGTTGCTCATGAGTTAATTTGAGCAGATTCACTACACAAATTCTATACAATGCAAATGAAACAGATAAAAAAAAAAGGTTATTGTTGTTGCTGTTGGGTGAAAGTGTCAAGAAAATAATAAATATTATATAAAATGTACCTTGCTAGCCATCTTAGTTTAGCATGTTAGCATGCTATTATTTGCTAATTAGCATGAGGCATAAAATACGAACGCTGCTGATGGGTATTGGACAATTTAAAGTGTCATGTCTGTGGCTAGTTCTCAAGACACAAACATCATGATATTACCAGGAGAAAAAGTCAGTGGATCACTAAAGTCATTAGGATTAATCATCTGGGGACTATAAATGTCTGTATCCAGTTTCATAATAATCTGCTAATTGCTGTTGAGAGATTTTTGTCTGCACCCTGCAGTGGTACACCAACCGCTGATATATCGTCATCAGATTTTTTTTTAACGTTCCTCTTCAGACATATTTCAAACTATGTAAAAATACTCTGCTATGATCCATGTTTAGTTTAATATAATTTTCCCACATAAAAAGTGAAACGGGAGGAAACATCAGAGAGAATGAATCAGATGAGGAGTCTGTTGAAACCAGAGCCAGAGACTAGCAGATGGATCAGAACGGTTAGCGTAGTTAGCATCCTGTCAGAATGGTTAGCGTAGTTAGTGACCTGTTAGAACGGTTAGCATAGTTAGCATCTTGTCAGAACAGTTAGCATCCTGTCAGAACAGTTAGCATAGTTAGCATCTTGTCAGAACGGTTAGCACACTTAGCATTCTGTCAGAACTGTTAGCGTAGTTAGCATCTTTTATTTGTTTATATTGTTTGTTAGCTTGTAACTGGCAGTGGCTGACACAGTGTTGGTGGCTGTGCCAATGCTAACTCTCTCTCTCTCTCTCTCTGTACTGACAAGGTTTCAGGTTTATTTAGCCCCGCCCCCCCATCCCCACAAGTCAACAGGATTGGTTCATTAGGTTTGTGATGTATCGAAAACCCTGGCTGTCTGAATCTGTTTTTATGAGACTGTCATTGGTTCACTGCAGTTAAAGGTGGAACTATGCAGTCATGGTGTTGACAGACTCTTTTGCTCATGATATGTCTTGTGTTGTATAAAAAACACCATGTGGGTGTTAACAAGGTTAAAAACTTGATTTTTATCGGGGGGGGGGGGTTTTAAACTTTCAAATGTCCAATATCAGTTCAGTTATAGCATCTAAAAATGCAGAAAGTTTTACCTTAATTACGTTGGAATTTAAAATAAACCTGTTATGTCACCATATTAGACTGGAGGTGAATGCATTTTCATTTGTTCTCCTCAGAGCAACGAAAATGTATATTTGAAAAACTCTAAAAGTTTTTTTTTCCTGGGAACTTGGAAGTAATCTCTTTGGTTGGTGAGACAGATAATTCCCTGTTGCCCTCACCCACCTTTTACCATTCACTTATGTCACACACTTCTGCTCCTGAGTTCATCCTGAGACGCTGTGCAGCTTGAGAACACTTAACAAGCCGTCTATTTTTAGGGAATGTGATCCTAAATGTCAGCGTTCCTCTTATGGTGCAACTAGTTAAAGAGATCAAGTTTGAAACGGGCAGTCTGTCAGTTCAGCCCTCGGAAATTAAAATGATCAGACAGGATTTTTAAACTTGTGAAAAGCTCGTGTTTGAGGAAATGACAAACCTTCGTAGATAGTAACATTTCAGGTGGATAGCTTCCAAATACTTTAGTAATTCAGCCACTCATCTCAATTGATCTGACACTGATGGGGACAAGTTTCAGATGAACATTTCTTCTTTGTGCGTTCATTTTTAATGCTACATCTCAGATTTATGCCATCGCCAATCTGCCATGTGAATGTGACCTCCGAGGACAAACCCTGACACAGGCCAACGTCAGTGAAAAGTTCTCTGAAGAGCCTCGTTTCCCTGGTCTAAAGAGATCTGACTGTTCCTCACCATGAACCTGAGAGATTGTGAGAGGCTGGACGTGCGGTTCACTCGAGCAGGGAGTCCAAGTTTCCCCCCCCGTCTCGCATTACCTCCGTATCGTCATCACCCGGACTGTCAGACACTACCAAATTACAACAGGTGCTCTCCTGTCCTGCTTCTAGTCTGGGAGTTGTTTGGGTCGAGTTTGGCCATACGGGCATTTCCTGCGGTCTTCAGTTTTCTAATCGATGTCATAGACGTCACATGAGCTGAAAAACGAACATGAAAAATTAAAGCTGTGGATTTTTTTCATCTAAATCCAAAAGGAACCACCTAAATTTATACAGTATATATATGTATAGTAGTTTTTATGTAGCAGTCCTGCAATAAATCCTCCTTGTATGACAGTTATAATATTCAGCTTGTGTTGAAACTGTTTTAAAGAGCTGTTGATTCAAACTTTACGATCATTTTGGAGGCTGCAGTTGATGGTCCACTCAACTCAAAACAACTTTATTTATCCGCTAGCAACTTAATTAGTGTAAAAGCAAACACAACACATAGTCTGCAAAATGAAAAACAGGGAGTAGACGACAAACAAGTCCAGCTTAGCTAGTGTAAAACAATTTAAAATGGTGAGTGTGCTTAAAATAATCCAATGATAAACAGTAGTAAGGTGCTGTTGAACTGTAGTGACAGGTGTTTCTATTATTTTGTCTTCCACATTTACACCAATGAGGCTAGATAACAGAAACACCTCTCTGTATGATGCAATACAGTCCAACAGCACCACAAAACATCTGTATCAGATTGCATTACTTTGAGCCGGGTGTTCCTAATTAACTGCCAGATTGTAATTCCAATATATAAACAGTTCAAGTTGGTGTCAAATAACAATGTTTGTTTTTGTATTGATTATTACTGGTGTCAAATTCATGGGTGAGTACAGATCCTCCAAGTGCATGTGGGAAGAAATCTCAAACGTCTGATCCCACAGCCACATTCAGTCGTGTGACAGCAGCGTTAAAACGGCGTACATGCACTGTATTGTCTGCAAGTGTTGACATGTTGTTGATTCTGACATCAAGATACTTGTTCAAACGCTGAGCGAAAAGCCAAACCTGACACACTGTTAAAAAAAAGATGGATCTCCGTGATAAATAAATGATTTTTAATTTAAGTGAAATCTGAAATCTTGACAGCAGCATAAAATATTGAACAGCCCTCATCTAAATGAATAGAGGTTGAGAATATCACAGAGGAATGAGGTATGTGCTTGATAGTGGCGGCTTTGGTTGCGGTTTACAAGTCCAACATGTTTACGTGCGCCGTTTGGATTGTAATCACGCTTCCTGTTAGAGCGATAAGGAGGAACACCCAGATCTAAAGACAGCACTGATGCATGATCCTCACTGCTCACTGCACATATACATGACCTGATCGTTCCATCAGACTGTTTAAATGCTGCTCCAAGTCACAAAAGGAACAAAACAGATTCAGTGTTTTCTTAAACTGTGCTGCGCCTTAAAAAAAAAAAAAAGCAGAAGCAGCAATTTCACATTATAAAATCTCACGGCGTGACAGCCTATAAAAATAGAACTTGCTGATTGGTACAAACGGCGGAGGTCGTGGTGGTGTGTGTGACTTCGGGATCAGACAGGACGCTGCCTTTAACAGCAGATAAAATTGTGCTCGGTATCTTTAAAGTGAGACTGTGCAACTTTTAAAAGAAGAAGCAGAATATTTATTCTCTCGAATGAAAAGTTGAGCTCATTAGCTAATAAAGCACACATGCACTTTGTCCAATTAAATCCAGAGGCTGTGGTGAAACACTAGAAGGAAATGGTTCTGATCACACACACACAGCTACAGCTATGGGTTCAGGGTGAATAAACACAGACTGCAAAATAAAACAAAACTCCAGTGGTCAAGAGGTTGGTTGTTGATGTGAATAAAAAAAAAACAAAAAAAATGCTGCAAACACTTATAGTATGAAATTGCTAAAATTGTTCATGACATTCATTTTTATTCTTCACCTGCACCTTTCCCAGCGTGATATGTCAGAGTGCCTCCTGGGAAAAACTTGAGTGCTGCACTTAAGTATATTTCATAAGAATCTGCACTTTACTTGAGTTTTTTTTTTTTTTTTTTGGAAACATACTGTATGTTTTTGACTCCACTACATTTCTATGAAGCAGAGTTTTTTTGTCAGCGAGACTTATCCATAATTTTAGAAAAGATTCCTTTGTTTTCAAAATGTTGTGCTGTGTTTACCGAGATCAAACTTCGTCACTGTCTAAAAAAAAAAGAAATCGTTTGTTGATTGAAATGTATTTTTATGGCAATTTCTATCATAGCTTTTTATTCTGCAGGTTTTCTGTCAGTGCATTCAGGAGGTTGTCGTAGTAACTGTGGAGCAACACAACAATGTATTGACATAAAAAATGTACTTTTGAATACCTAAGTATTTTTAAAAGCAGGTTACTGAAGTACTTGAACTCAAGTAAAAATCTGAGGAGCTTTCACTTTTATTGGAGTAATATTTGACAGGGAGGGTAAAGGAGCTGTGTACGCACTTTGTCTGATTATTGGTGAATATTGATGAGGTAAACGATTAAAACGATCAGAGCTGGCTCTGTCTGAAAACATTTTGTTGTTGTACAAGTTCATAGAAATCTAAAACAAAATCTGTTCTTCCGCGTGTTTGTTCAGGCAGAATGGAAACTATGCAAGATGGGTGGGATCATAAACTGTCCTCCAGTGGTAGATGCCCTTAGGAATTTTAATTGGCCTTAACTGTTCCACTGTTCCTCCCAACCAGAACATTCACCCCCCCCTCCCTGAGCAGACAGGTCTGAGCGCCGGTACCACAGACAGGACAGAGAGGTAGGTCCCTGCGAGTTTATTCTTCAACATTAACTGTTCTTAAGGTTTTTGTTTCTGTTAATTACTTTTTGTTTTCACTGTAGACAGTGATTGAAACTGTCCTGAAGCTCGACCAGCGCGTGATGGGCAGACAGATTAGAGTGGATGATAATGAGGGTCATTTAAGCTGTCTCCACCACTTCCCCTACAACAGCCCCCGCACAACACGCTTTCAGTGTCTTTTTTTGGAAAACGCAGACTGGGTGCGATGGAAGTGAAGGTGTCTGTGGACGGTATCCCACGCGTGGTCTGTGGAGTCACAGAGGAAACAACATGCCAAGACGTGGTCATAGCGTTGGCTCAAGCCCTGGGTATGTACATGTGTGTGTGTGTGTTTATTGTGGCTACCATTGATGTTCTGACGCGGTGCTGACCCGGCTGGTAACCACGGTCATCTCTCTCTCTTCAGGTCAGCCCGGACGCTACACGTTACGGGAGAAGTTCAAAGACTTTGAGCGGTGCATGACGCCCAACGAACGCCTTCTGGAGACTCTGGAGAAGTACGGTGAGCAGGCCAGGGAGGTCCAGCTCACACTGCTCCACAACGGAGCCTCTGTCTGGGATGAAATGAGCAGAACAAAAGTCGGCAGATACCAACCTTGCCCGCCACTGAGAAGAAAAGATGCAGGGGCTCGGATGCGGCGGAGCAGCGGTTCACTTAGTTTGCATCGCCAAAGCTTGCCGCCGTTGACTTGTTTGAGGCAGGAAGCTGAGCAGCAAAAGGAAGAAGTGAAAAGGCCTAAAAGAAAGTCTCTGACGCTCATGGAGGAGGCCTGGGAATGGCTGGAGAGTCTGGGGAAAGGCAAGGTCTACAGTACTGCCTGCGATAAGGAAAGCAGTAAGAGGGCCGATAAAAGGAACCGTACCTCTCTGGATGTTTGTCTCACTGTTGACAAAGACAACTTGGGTCGAAGCAGCAGAGGCAAAGTCAGAGGCGAGAAAAGTTTCAAGTCAGACTTGGATCGTCAAACGTCCTGCTGCATGGGAAGTCAGACGAGAGGTAAAGAAAGCAAACACTACAAGAAAAGTCAAGAGGCTAAAGCCGACGACCTGTTCAGCTCAAGCTGCGTTACGGTTGAAGATGAGAAAAACAGCCTGAGAGAGACCGTCATATGTCAGCTCGGCTGTCTGCAGGATTTACAGGTGCAGATTGCACTCATAGACAAACAGATTTCTGAGCTGGAGGAGAAACAGAGGGCCAAAAGAGCCGAGCAGGAAGCGCAGCAGAGAACGGCTGAAGAGGAGACGGAGCTGATAAGGTTTTGGGAGAATGAATTAAAGGCAGAGGAAGGTTATGAGAAAGATCTGCAGCGTCAGTTCCTAGGGATGAGGGCAAAGGCTGTTGATTGCAAGGCCACACTGGAGGAGTACAAGCACAAAATACAGGGGCTGGATTTCTTTGCCTCTCAAAGCGTCGCTGGAGAGGATTCAGAGATGATTTCAAAAGCCGGTGCAAACGCCGCCACTGAGCTTTCAACCAAGTACGGGAATCGCCAACGATCTGACCCAGATGGGGATGTAAACGTTAACAGGAAGTTCCTGCCCAGAAAAGACTTCAACGCTCCTCATGCTCTAGTTTCTCCCAGCCAGATGAAAGAGCGGCGGCCCACGGGTCCTGCAGAGCTCAGGGAGTGGTGGACACGCTGGTCTGAAGCCCAAAGCTCTCAATTACAGACTAAAAAGAAGGTGATTCACCGCTCTGAACTGACTATATATCTGGGCGGCACGAAGGTTTAGAATCTAATGAATGCTCCTTTGTGCCAGTTTAATTCCTCTCGTCGCAGGGCTCCAATCCTCTGGGTTTAACTTGTATTGAGTGTTTGTACCCAAGACTTCCTGTATGTATGTGGCTGGAATGGAGCCCCAGCACTGTGGTGCATTCACTTCCACACGAGCCCAGTCCTCCCACGGTTTGTTCCCTCCGGTGAGCCCCCTAGTGATTGAATAGGCTCCATGTCAGAGGTGAGACCCTGTGGTCCAAGAGCATTATTTTATTTTTATTTTTTTAATAATACAACCCATTCACTGCAACATTTTAACCTCAAGAAAGCAGAGTCACAAATTCAAATGTTATTTTATAATTAAACCTGGAGGTAGATCATTCTTGGCATCTATGAATAGTATCCAGCCCATGTGACCTTGTGTTGAAGTCAATTATGGAACACTATATAATTGTACATGTTAAAAGCCTTTTACTGGAGAGGGAAATCAAATAAATGTCCTTGCACCGGCTTTGTCTGGCAGACAGCGTTTCATCTGTGCATCATGGGGATTCTGACCTCAATAGGAACTCTAATGGCACCGAGATGGACTGTGGATGATGCATTTTCCTGTTCTGTGCGACTCAGAGCTAATGCAAGCGTTCAGTTTAAAAAGAAAAAGAAAAAAAGAAAGGAGGACTGGACAGAAAACTTTGTCTCAGATGAATTTGTAAATGTCGTCGTCTGCTGCTGAGAAGTCCTGGATGTTAATGTTCTTCGCTGTGGCACGATGGTTCTGTTAGTTTCAACTATATACCTTTGTGTTTGTTATAAAACCTGTCTAATGTTTTATAATGGAGAATGAAAATATCTGGGTTGTTTCTTGCCCTCATGTCAATGAATCGTTTTCACAGCTACATTATAACTTTCTTAGAATAGTCTTAAAAGCAGATTTGCAGCCGCTCTCTGAAATAAAAAGACAAATACAAACCAGCTCATGATTTTCATAAAACTTTAATTCAATTGTTTCATTCAAGACCATTAACAAAAGTACATGAGAACCTCTGTACGTGGTTCAACTGAAACCCGGTGATCTCTAAAGTTGAAATTAATTTTGACTGTAACTTAATGTGCAGAGGCACAACAGCTCACCCAACATGTCTCCAGAGCACAATAACTGATGTCCTGATTTTTAATGTTTTTTTTTTGTTTGTTTTTTTTTTTTTTTTTTACTGAATTTCTAATACTTTACCTTTCTCCTTTAAGTTAAATTTGTTTCATTATATCTGAAGTTTGAACTTTCACTAAGAAAGAAAGGAAAAAAAAAAAAAAAAAAAAAAAAAAAAAAAAAAAAAAAAAAAAAAAAAAAAAGCACACATTACATACAGTATAGTTCAACCCACAGGTTTGGGATGCATATCAGTATTATTTCTACTAGAAAAGACAGCCACCCTAAGATTGTTCTGAATATTTTGGCGGTTGGCTGGGAACAGAGGATACATCTAATTTTTGTTTTTTTGTTTTGTTTTTGTTTTTTGTTTTTTTTCATTTCACTTTGCTTGTAGTTTTTAGGCACCTTATTCTTACTTAATTCAATATTAGCAGATTGAGTTTCAATGGAAAAAAGCAAAAACATATGTGCAAGAAAAAAAGTACATAGTATAAAAGAACTGCAGATATAAGATGCCACGAGGAATTCTGCACCTGGGAAAAATTGCTTAAGTGGAGCATGTGAATACCAAAAAGGTATCTAAAGGCTCCAGATTGGTAAAGTAAATCCCATTAGATCGACTACTTTGACATTCACATACATCACACACACCATGCTTTCTCTTCAGCTCTTCAATAAAGCATTTTTAAAACTGCTCAAAAAACGGAGCAGAGAAGAATCCTCAGTTTAAGCCCGCACATATGAGAAATATGATCCTCCTTATGGAGGGAACTTTGCTTTGCTTTATGCGTTTTTTTTGTTTTTTTTTAGGAAAGCATACAGTAGTGGAAACTTTGATAATGAAACCATTTCAAGTTTCCATGGGTAAAGGAGCAAATATATGAGAGAAAAAAAAAACAAAACAAAAAAAAAAAAAAAAATGGAGCAGAAGCTCAAAGACATGCCAACAGTCACACTCATTCACCCAGGCAGACTATTGGACAGATTACAGGTGCAGAATTCCAGTCAAAGCAGATTCAAAAAGATAGGGACATAGACAGCCACACAGTCATCACTCTGATTTAGAGGGACGAGGCCCTCAGAAACAAATACCTCCATTACACACTATAATCACTTCTAGGGTACATCACACACGCACACACACACACTCAGAGATCCCATGTACACTGCAGTGTGGACTCTGTATCAAGTACATCATACATGGGAGGCAGGGAACCGTGGAATGAGAAAAGTTCCCGCGCAGGTATCGATGGGGACAAAGATTACACATGCCGATTACTGTATGTGTGTGTATGTTCTGTGTGTGAGTTTGTGTGTACAAGCATGTGTCAAATCAAATTCCCTTATCTCCTGCTGTTGCCCTATGGGACAGCATCCCACCAACACTGAACGGGGCGGGCTCTGTATTGCTCAGTCGATGACACCAGGCTGACGAGTCTTGCGCTCCACATTGAAGCCCTACAGAGGAGAGGACAAACTGAATGTTGATGCTTATATTCCATGCCAAATCCAAGTTATCCAGTGGGATTTGAAGGTTTATGGAAGGACAATCTAAAAACCTGATCTGATTTTAAATATTACACAACAACCTCCCCCTCAGCCTATTTATCTATCTAGCGTCGTTGTTGTTTGTTTTTCAGATAACAGCTAAGCACCAGTCTCACAAGCCTCATATTGGTTCTCGTAGCTCGTTATGTGTGAAAGAAATCGATAAAATGAGACACCACTAATGGTATCACAGCCAACTTTGCCACGTTCAGTGCAGATGAAAGGTTGACTTTTAAGTCTGTATTAGGCTATTATGGCCAATTAAAAAAATGAATAAGTAAGTCTTTAACATTTGTGATAAAGCACCTTGATTTTTCAAGTACTTTTACAAGTATTCTGCACATACAGCTGAAAATAATGAATGGAAAAGTAGTCTTAAATTTCATACCCATACAGAAGTATAAAGTCTTAATTCGTTAAACAAATTTATAATATTTAACATAAAAAAAATTAAATTATTATTTGAAGCTATCGTTTAATATTAGACAGTGAAATGACATATCTGCTCAAAGAACGATTAAAATCAAAATGTACCTTTGAATTGTCAGGACCGCGGGGCTGTCTTACAATGACCAGGCGAGGAGCACTGGCGTCATCAAGGGTGATGCTCTTCAGTCGGTTCACCAGACGGTCAGGACGAGGGGTCACCACCTGTTTTGGCCCCTCGCTGTCATGATAGGGGCGTAATAAGAATTAAAACATTGACACCGAGACCAAATATTGTATTGCACGTATCCGGGTGGAGTCCTTACCTGACTCTACGCACGTTGCAGGCACTACATTTTCCTGTGCGTTGATTGAGGACAACTGAGAACTCCACCTCATCCCCGGTTTGGAGCTCCAGGCCATCTTGCACTTCTTTTACATGGAAGAACAGCTTCTTGCTCTCACCAACTTCATAAGTGATGAAGCCAAACTGGGGGCAACAAAAACAAAGCAAAACTTTAGGGGTTTAAAAATCGGGAGCCTTTCACTGCAGTGTCACATGTGCTGTAGAAACCAAGTGCTCTAAACAATAATGAAACTGTAAATTAATAACCGACGACCTACCTGGTCTTTGACACACTCCACCATGGCTCTACGCTGAGGGACTACATTACAGGCCATCTTCTGTCCAGTTTGAGCGACTGTGCAAACCTGGAACTTCACAAGTTCTCCTTTCTGCAGACAATCTGCCTTGTTCGCCATACCCATGATTCCAAAGGGATAATTCTGGCCTTTAGTTCCACCTGAAACAACCAAGAAGGGGGTGATGTCAGCTCAACTTCCCTCCCTCCCAAGAATAATTGTGCTTTAAAATCTTGGGTTTTCAAGTGCCATCATACGTTGACACCCACCTTCCTCTGTGATTTCAATAAGCCCTTGGTATTCTGTCTGGGAGGGGTCTACACTGCGTAAAGGACGGATGACTTTCCCCATCATCACTGTCACACCAACATCATCTCCAATGCCATTCACTAAAAAGGAGGGAAAACACGAGATTGCACATAGCTTTTATTTGCAAGAACTGAAACTGCCATATTAGAAATCAGCTAGAGTTAAACCCCTCGTACCTGCAGCCACTTTGGTAACCTTCTCAGCACTGACTTTGTTTCCTTTTCCCTTAGAGAGAGTGTACTCGACTGTGTCGCCCAGCTCCAAGTTCTCCAAGTCTCCACACATTTCACTGGAGGAGAAAGCACAGATAAACCGTGACTTAGATATCAATTATCATTTCTTTGGGTGTTATTAATAAATAAAATCAGCAACTTAATACGCATCTTACAACTTAAACATCTACCTGTAGTGAAAGAAAATTTCTTGGTCATGATTTGCTGTCTCAATGAAGCCAAAGTTGTCCTTCAGTGTGGCAACAAATCCATGCAGTCTCTTGGCACTGGAGGCGTTACGGTTCAGGACCCTGATGGAGACGGCGCTCTGTTGGCCGGTTCGCTTCACTTCGTTGATAGAGAACTCCACCTAGAGGACAAGCATCACAAGTCTCACACGGCGTAGACAAAATAAAGACTATAAAAGGTGGCGATAGTAGCAGCGTTAGTCTGCTACAGACCTCATGATGCCCATGTCTTCAGCAGTATCTACAACAGCTGAGGTCACTACTTTAAGTCCCTTCACTGAGCAGTTTACCTTGTCTCCGACCTGTGGGTGACCTCCTCCCTCCAGGTCCTTAACATGGTATGGCACAGTGAGCTTCACTCCACAGTCTTCATATGCAATCACTCCTTCCTCAGATTCCTGCAGAGAAGGCCACACATCAAAACCTGCATCACCTGAGCATCACCAGTGTTTGATCCAGCCGGCTCCAGCCAATGAAGTCTCTCAGCAACGCTACACTTGTTTCTCAACAAAACTCATTTAAGCTACTAAACGCCTCAAACATAAGTGTATTAGAGGATGATGTGCAGATAGCCTACACAAGCACATGAGAGGCACCAGTGTGTGCAGTGCATCACTCAATAGCAGCACAGTTGGTTAGCATTAGCCTAGTCTACTGCGACAGCACCGAGTTACAGCCTTCTAATGCAGGGCTGCATAATTACCCATCACTAATGTAGTTTCATCTATTGGGAACAGTCCTGTAATACCCAGATTCAGAGTTATCACCTGAACCAATCACAGTACGCAACTGACAGATCATTTCACATTTATTCCCAACAAAAGATGATGAAAAGTATGTCTATAAATTCAGCAGGACAGGCTTTTTTATGCTTTATAAATCATTTGTGGTTTTCTTGCTGCCACTTAAATTACTACAACTGTTTTGAGTGTGAAAACATTTATCAACTATCTTAAATTCAAGCTTCCAAAAAAAAAAAAAAAAAAAAAAAAAAAAAAAAAAAAGGACCAGAGTAATGGAGGCCAGAGAAATGTTGATCGAACGACTAATCCAGGTGACGTTAACATCATTTAGGAAGGACCAAAAAGACAGTTAACAGGCTGTTCCCAAAAACCATACTAGTAATCGGGATTAGAGTTTCAGCCCTGATTGTGCAGCCAGACTACTCGCTGAAATCACTGGTGCAGTGTTTGATTCCATGTTAAGGGTTAATCGGTGATCAAATACCATGCCGTCAACTATTGAGGTAAAGGAGGCAATCAGTGGGCCAGAGGCCTGCAAAGACTAACCTTTTCTACAACTTTACCCTTGAAAAGTAAGAGAAACAGACACTCATTAGACAGCAAGGCGCACTAAACAGTTTTCTTACATTGCATTATTTGTCAACGGTTGACTTTTAAATTCAACATCTAAGATCTAGGGATAATGTAATTATTTCTTAGACTAAATGTTAGTGAACTGTATAGACTATTGGTTTAAGTTTGTGCAGTTTGCCACTAATATGAGCATCATTACTGATTTGTGAGACATTATTCGTGTGGCTTCATGCAGAAGGTTTCGGTCCTACCTTGTCTTTTTTCTAACCGACAAGATGAACAGGAGGAGGTCAAAGGAGGAGAAAGCAAAGAGGAAAATTAGAACTAAAAAAAAAAAAAAAAACTGGGACGAGGGGCAGATGAAGTCGGTTGGGGGGTGGGCCAGGGACACTATTGTTTCTTAGTGTACTCAGGGTAGATTTGTGTGCAATAATACGTGTCATAATTGTGCACTATAGTACCTTCTCCTTGCCCTTGGTGGGACTGGCGTTCTTGGCGGTGACTGCCACTTCTTTTTCCACCACACCCATAAAGCGCTGCTCGGACTGGGTATGGAAAGACACTGTGCCCTTGGGCAGCTTCTTGATGCGCACTGCGTGGTTCCTCTGAGCCGACAGCATATCCTGGCAACCATAGGACATATTACTTTAGCTTGCTGTTAACAGACAATTAGAAAATGCCTTCATACGTAACAACACAGAATACATACTTTGGTGAAAAGCTTATAAACGGGACCTACAGGCACAACAGTAAACTCCACTTCGTCTGAGATGTGCAGTTGGCTCTCCTCCAGAACTTCGCTGAAGTGAAAGAACATCCTGGCGTCCCGATCCACACACTTGATGAAGCCAAAGCCATCACGTATGGCCGCAATCACCCCCTAGAAAGAGATTTGGTGAAACAGTTGCCGTCTATGAATTCACTTCAATTTCTTTCAACTGTAAAATGATGCATTACATAATATAAGTTGGTCTTCTGTAATTCTCACCATTTCACGTGTCTCCTTCGTGAAGTTGAAAGTGTCTGGGAGGATGTCAATGTTTGTCGCCCTCTCCAGCTTGTCTCTGCGGTCAGTGGAGATGTTGAACTGTATGTGGTCGCCCTCCAGAAGGGTCACCTTGGATTTTGTGTCCTTCTCGCCAAACGGCAGTTCCTTGTCAGTGAAACCAATCCGGGCACTGATGCGACCTGGAAGAGGGTCATTCTGTGGAAGAAGGAAGCAGAGATTTGTCAAAGTGGTACGTTATATTCTTGGTTGCTGGGGTCTGCTTTTTTACAAACGAAGCCTCTTCAAATATATAATAATTCAACTTGCCAGACTTATGATCTACTTGCCTGGTTTTTGGTGGGGACCTTGGGAATGACCTTGACAACAGTGCCTTCAAACTGTTCAATGCTGATATCCTCAAAGATGACTGTTCCTTGGGGGAGCAGCCTCACATCTGTGGCTACTTCTTTACCCTGCGCCGCAAGAACATAAAATATAAGTAATGTTATACATGTTCAGGAAGGTCGTTAAAAGAGTCACGAGTATGGAATCTGTTTTAAAATTTATGCGTTTAAAAAAAGCTTGACAACACTTACATTTCTGTCTTTTATGGTGAACTCAACATCATCTCCAGCCTGCAGAGCCTCCAGATCACCCTTGAACTCGCTGTAGTGAAAGAAGATCTCCTTTACCACATCAGCCCTCTCAATGAATCCAAAGGCCTCCTGAAAGACAACACATGGTTCAACATAACAAGGACATCATTCTGGGTTGTCAGGGAAGGTGTATAGCCTCTTTTCTTGACCATTCTGAGTAGTACATTTATTTATGCGAAGTCAGCTACCACAAAGACACTCATGATTTGTCTAATTAGCTTAAATAAGAGACGGTTCGTGTAATATCAGTGGACCTTACCTTTGTAGCACACACCACACCCTGGCACCTCATTTGCTTCTTCTTCACAAGTTGAATATTGCGAGCACTGACCGCACCAGTACTGATGTACAAGAGTGACAAATATAAAAATCAAGCGCAAGCTGGGAATCATTAAGACAATACTGACATGCTTTGTGAGGACTTACTGCTTATTGGTCTCCATGTAAAAGCTGACTTTGTCACCTGTGTCCAGGTGGATATTACCCTCCACGTCATCAGTAGTGTAGGTAAGGTAGAACACTTCCTGTGGAACAGTCACACCAGTGTCAGACTTTGTTTGATGGTTCACCTGTTCATCCTTAAACTCTTTCATATCTGAGAGTTATGTACTGCACCTCTTTGATAAACTATCCCTTAGAGGCTGTTGAGGGAACTCCCATGATGCACTGTGCTCTTCTCTCTTTTGCTCTCTCCCCATGCATTTATAAAATCACACTAACTGTCATTAACTTTGTGTTTTCTCTCTCCTGTAGTTTGTATTTCCCTCTCTCTCCCTGTTCTCCTTCTGCAGGTATCCAGAGCTGCAGGATCCAGATCTGCCAAACACTCAATTATTTATATTATTATAAATAATTGGTGCCACTATCATAGCTGCATTTCTGTTAGTGATAACACCTTTAAGTATCACTATTATTATTACAACAACAACCAGCCTTATAGTGCCTTAATACAAAATATACAGCTGTTCCTGGTCTCTCTCTCTCCTCTCAACCCAGGGAGTTTTTCCTCTCCACCATCTTCAAGTGCTGCTCGTTGTGGGGACTGTTGGGTTTCTCTCTTTAATATTGTAAAGTGCCTTAAGATAATGTACATAATGATTTGGCACTATTAAAATAAAACTGAGCAGACCTAAACTGAATAGGTAATAAGTGAGTATTTTGGCAAACACAAGCCAAGCATGAAAAAAAAAAAAAAAAAAAATCCTCAGGAGCAGAACGACGACATTTTAGTTACATTACCATTCTGCATTTTATTGATCAAACATGCCGTGCTCTTTGCTACTTCTCTTACCCCGTTTCTTTCATAACAAACACTGCCAGTGGGCACCTGGACAGGGGCAGACTTTCCATCCAAGTGCACAGGGATTGCCGACACAACCTGCAGAAGAGGAGGAAATAGCAGACGGAGGCCATTAACACACTGCTTTGCAAATCCTTGACTGAATATTCATTCCAATTACACAGCCCAATGACAATATCTCTGCACACAGGATGGATGAAATGATGGCTGAATTTCAAATGTCACAGTAACAAGTATTTCAAGTGTCAGAGATGTGGAGCATCATCTACGGGTTAGCAGAGTTGCATGTGCATTGTTGTTGCGCTTCAGTGTAAAAACCTCTATACACTGTCCAGCCTCCTAACGGCCTCCACCATGCTGATAACCTGACTAAACAAGTCGGTGAGCGAATGAATCAGGATGAGTGTGTGTGGGCTTTGTGGAGTCACATTGTGCTCTGGATGTGGAGTTAGATGTGTTATGTGAATGCATTACAAGACAGGCGGTGTCACTGGCATGTCACGAATTGAACACGACCAATGAGCCGAGCACGACAGTCTGTGCCTCCGCCTTCCGCTGCTGAGCTCAACTTACTGCTGCAGCGGTCAGGCCCATTGACTCTTCACAGTCACATAACAGAATAGCACATGTGAGATTTGTGTTGGTTTGAGAGACTGACCGGCTGAGCTACACTAGCTGCTTTGAGCATTCAGAAAAATAATACACCCACTGGGCATTCCCAATGACCACTTGACCATATTTGTTTAACGGACATTCAACACCTCCAACAAACATGCATGTCAGCGAAAAAACAAGCCAATCTGAAATTCAAATGTATAATAAATCTTGACTGAAAAGGTTATCTTTTTTTTTTAAATTTAGATGTGGGACGCCTATTCGCTTAACGAGACCTTCAACATCCCCTGCCCAAAAAACACAATGGGCCATATAAATGTTAACTTGACAGACAAGAACAGAACCAAAAATAAAATGGTGTTCCTTAACTGGATGAATATAACCATGCAGCACAGTAAAGGGATAGGCGTGCAGGTCTGGCCCCACCTGGCCCGAGATGCGCTCCTCTGGCAGCACCTCTGGCTTTATCTTTAGCAGCTTCACTGCTATGGGCTTGCCAGTGCGCCTGTCAGAGGATACCTCAAACTCTACATCATCTGAGGAGAGAGAAACGGGAGAACACCAAAAACACTTAGCACACCTCAAATGATACAGAGAAAGCTTAAGTTTCAGTAACGTAGCTCATGTGTTTCTCTTTTCAGCAAGCGAAGATAGAGTCAGATTAAGTATTTATGATTTTGTACACAAGCCCAAAGCCTCTCACCTCCTATTTTAAGCTCCTGCAGGTTGCCATTGTACTGAGAGCAGTGGAAGAAGAGACGATCCTGACGTTCGGAGCACTGGATGAACCCGTAGGAAGTCAGGAGCTTCTCCACCACACCGGTCTCTCTAATGCCAGGTCCTGTGCCATTGGCGTATGCAGTGTGCCCATTGTTATGGAGCATGCCTGGGTCAAAACTCATCTAGGGAAAATGAGAACTAAGTGTTAAATTGCATTCAGCGGAACAACATGAAGCAGACCAAAATAAGTAACTGCAATTTTAAGGTAGGGTTTGATGCCAACCTTAACAAAAAAAAACAAATAAAAAAAACAAAAACAAAATTCAAACATGCAGGAACAGCACATTTCAGAGGAAGTGGGGAAGGGGAAAAAAAGCTAATGTAAAGCTACATTAGAGCCTTCAGGGGCTATCTGGTCATCAACAGAAGGGAACACACATTGATAATACCCTGAAAAAATTTCAGTTTAATTCATACCGCTGGCTGGAAAAAACTATTTTTAGCAACACACAGCAACGCTTCCTGGTTTGCTTAATGTCATGCAGTAAAACCTACAAGTCACTCAATTTGCCCGCTCCTAAATCTTCTCAACACTAAGAAAATTTGTAAACAATTTCATGCAATTCTGGTTAGACAGACAAGTGTACAAAAACTGTTCACCTCCCTCTACCAACAGACCAACCAGTGATTATTGACAAATACCAGCAAAACTCACTTATCAAAATCTGCCACTGGGCCCTGGTTGAACTTGCGCAACAACAACAACAACAACAACAAACCATGCTGTTAGCGAAAGTCACATGACACAACAACAGTTGATTGTTAATTCAGTGCTGGCACTACCCAACATGCCACCTTACTGATCTCTGATACAAGGGAGTCCGCCTATGTTTTTTACTCCCAGGGTGGGGGTGGCAAGAGACAGAGGAGGAGCGGGGGATATTCATGGGACCAGTAGAGGTAGATCGGGCAGCACCAGTGTTGCGAGCCACTGGAGGTTCAGAGGACCCTCTTTCCATTTCTGACACTGCGGATAGGACTTGAATATGCTGTTGGGAGGAAGTAACAGCTTTGACAAAGAGGACAGACATAGTATTTAATGTTTTTTATTTTCTTTTTAAGTTACCATCATCACAAACTGTTGAGTTGTGATTACACAGGACCGGCTATTATCCAGCGCAACGGTCTAAAATACTGCATCTTCTGCTTAATCTAACCTGCATTTGCCCATGCACACCGTATATACATCTCACAATATCACAGCAATATACAACACTACCAATGTACAAAGACTTCTCCAATGCCATTTTATTATATCTCAGCTCATCGCAACCACCACCAATACTAAAAACCCTGTGAGAAATCCTAATGCCAAAATACCACACAGAAAAAGGTGTAAGGACACTCCGTATCGACGGATATGCTACCATGACAATCTCACATCACATCGTCAATCAATAGCACTAATAAGTGGCTGAAAACGCTTGTGCATTCAAACGGGAATGTCTTTCCAGAGAAGGCAGACTAAAAACCTGAAGAGCCCAACCTACTTCTTTGTTCAGCCAGTTACGGTGAAGTGGTTTAAGTGAAGTGTCACAAATCGTACTCAAGGTGAAGTAAAATAAAACTACTGAAAATGGAGAATCAGAAAATGCAAATGACAGGTCAAATAGCGGTGCATCTACAGTGGACAGAGAGTTGGTGATGGGTTATGGGTTATGAGGGGGGTCCCAGAGCAGCCTCTTCTGTTAGGCCCTGTTCTGCACTGCACTGTCAAAACAAGCTATTCTTCACAGAAGACATAACACATCTGCAGGTCTTTTACCCTGTAATATGTTGCCCGTGCAGTGATTACTCTCAAACATCCACATCCAACGTTTTGGTCTCAGAGATAATGAAGGGTTTTAGTTCAGCTCTGACGGGCAAGTACCTTAAATACTACCCATTCAGTTTTTCCCTAGGGATCAGCTAGTACGTAGTTTAGCGTTGACTTGCTTTGAGTGAAGTTATGTACAAGCATTAATGTAGCCCAACATGATTTGCCCATGTCACAGCCTGACTTAAATTTAACAGGGTTGTGATGCAAAGTAAAAATACGAGGGAAATGAAAAAAAATGGCTCTAGAGGATTTGTAAAAAAGCGGCAAATTTCTGCAGTTTAATCAGCAGAACACCCCTCGCCCTGCAACAATACATCTGAGTAGAGGCTAGTCTCGGGAGCCCGAAAAGGATGAAAGAGGTTAGGCCATTCAACAGCAGAGAGATGCAGGGCAAGGTGGGTGGATGGGTGTTCGATGGGGTGGGGCACTTAGAAAAGAGGTGGGAAGGTGAAACTTACGGATCGGCCATATGGCGACAGGCTGAGTCCGACAGGGGAGGTGCTGCTCAGGTCAGCGCTAACAAACGCGGTGGGTGGCGACGCAGGCAAGGTAAACTCAACAAAGCCTTTCCAGGGGCTGCCCATATTTTCCCATAAACTCGGACCAAACTTGCTTGAGCACTTGCTGAACTTGATTACTTGTTTAATCTTTTTTTTTTTTTTGCTTCACTGTTAAGTACTATTTTTATGTAACCACCCAATGATACACCGCTGGATGTCTGCAAGGGTGAAGAGAGGAACAAACATAACGGGTAAGGCAAATAGGTCAGCCAGTGTGCCATGTGTCACAAACAAAGGAAAATAGCTGTGGGCTTTTATCCCCCAGGGAGGGAGTTGAAAGGGCAAAAATCAGGGAGGTTATGACTTCAAAACGACAGAGCAGGAAAAAGGTGCGGGCTGGGTGAGGGGAAGGCAATCAAATCATTAATCAAGCTAAATTGAATAACCAGTTTAACTGGAGGTGGTGGCGGTTCAGTACAGCTGGCTTATGAGAAGTTTTAAGAAGACTTATCTTTGGCAAACGGCAATGTAGAGGTCAATGACATAAGAATCAAATCTTCAGCTCTGTATCACTTATCACAGTCAATCCACATTATGTGTGCTTTCGAGCCCAGGTAGCAACATGTGTAAGCACGTGCAAATAGCAGTGAATACACAGGATTCATTTCTAACAAAGCACTGCAGCAGCTGCTTTCACTGACATTTCTCTCTCTGGTTAAAGGTGTGCTAATCAGTGAAATCAGCTCCTACAAATAGACAATCACTGAAGGTGCTGCAATTCAGAAATTGAGAACACAAATCTAACTGATGAGGTCACAAATCCAGATACAAGTTTCAATTTTCTTTTTTTTCTTTTTAAAGAGTTGCACACGTATTTGTCAGAGTTGGATGTTTAAGCAAACAAAGAGGACAAATGAACTGTTGTTTCTGTTCAGTGATAAACAAAACAACCTCTGCATTGCTGTCCAAAATCCGCACAGCTGGCCAAACTTAATTAGAATTGAGAGTGTTACAGTCTGTGTTTGTACATCTGTATAATAGAGTCATGTGTACAAACAGGGAATTTACCAATTACAGATTCTGAAGTCAACCCCCAAAGTAAACACCAACTTGCAATAACAAATTCTTTAAATCTGAATTTTTAAAAAGGACATTAAAAGGGAATCATTTTCAGAATATTGGGTGGAGGAAATTATTCAAAACATGACAAATGAAAGCATAAGTGACTTAACAATTATTAGTACAGTTGATGTTAACACGCTAGGTCTCATGTTATGAAGGGACTACAACTGAGACCCACCTTTATTAGTCGTCTTGAATCTTGTAATTCTCTGGATCTCGATGACTATGCAGTTCCTGCAGATCTCTTCACGCACACAGTTGAACACACACACTTGTTACAGGTTTCTGGCACAAGTTCTAGATGGTTGCATAAAGCAAAAAATGGGGGAGAAATCTAGCGCAAAAAAAGGCAAACGCAGGTGCAATAACACTGCTTAGAAAAAATTACAATGAAAAACAGTGGGAAGAGAAGAGGGGGGGAAAGATGGGGGGACCTATGGGGGGAAAAAATAGCAGATAGCAGCCCACTCCACACCCCGGCGGTAAGTCGGTGGTGTGGTGAGGATGAGGAGGGCTAGGAGCAGCGTTGGGACGTGTGCTTTGTCAAAGCTGTTGAGTAGGCACAAACTTCTGGTTTCAGATCAGTTATTGTCTTCTCAGAATATGCTTGGGCATAGGATTGCTTCTCTTCTGTGTTTCAGTTGGGCTGTTGTTCGTCTTCTTTGGTCGTTTCAGGATTTGGTTGCTTCTTGCGTGTTAAACCCTTGAAGTGATCCTTATTTTTTTTTCCCTCCACGTGTCTTCAGTGTTGCAACTTTGCTTGTTGTTTTGGGAGGTTTATCTTCTGTTTCTGTGTTATGATCTGAACTTGAAGCAGTTGCGGATGGTACAAAAATTCAGTTCCGTTTCACTTCATACTGTGGAGAAAAGGCAGATTTGGTCAGCTGAGCAAAACAGATCACTTTGACTTCACCTCGACAACAATTTCACATATCAAACATTTAGGATTAACACAAAGGACAAAACGGCTCCAAGGGCTTGTGGAGTATGCACTGACAGTAAAAAATTAATTACATTATCAAGTCATAAGAATCCCACATTTTCTGTCACATGAAAAATGGGAACAAACCTGAGGATCAGTCGCCTAAAGTTTTTTTTGAGAACACTAGATTCTTTGCCCCCAGACTCACAAGTGTAAAAATAGGTTTTCCTCAGATGCCTCTGGATACAGCCCATAATGCCAGGCAGCTGACTAGCAGACAAGAGTTGTAGATCAACAAGTGCTTGTGCATAACTTCAGCTCAGGGTATGATATTTATGGCACCATTTCTGACCAGGGCCCTCTGTTTTGTCATTGAACCTATACATGTTTTGCACACTTGTTGTACATGTGTTAAATGTAAAGGTGAGGCTCACCTATCAACACAGATGTGTGTGTGTGTGTGTGTGTGTGTGTGTGTGTGTGTGTGTGTGTATATATATATATATATATATAAAATGTAAAATTTGCTTAACTTTGTTAGAACCTCAGGAAATGATCCCCACCAGTAGGTTAGAGCAGAGGGTTTGAGGAAGAGAGTTGTTGACAAAAATACACCGCTTTGAAAACAGGCTGGATGAGCCAACCCAGGACACATGATATATTCTGCTTTGACTGTGTTGCAATGACTCCCTTTCCATATTCTCCCTGGAAGGTTAATATATAGTGTTGTGAAAGTGCTCTAATGAGATTCCTAGAAGTAGAGATGTTGATTTTTTAGTTTTGTTTTTTGTTTTTTTTAAATAAAAAAGGTGCCTCTTTGGTGTTCATATCCAAATGTCAAATCTAAATGAACCTAGAAGCACCTTTTTATTTTGTTTTCATTTGCAGCACTTGGATGAATACTTGACCCACTAAAGGCATACATCCTGGTGGTAGCACAAACAAAGAGTTCAATTATAACAAGATGGATTGGGTAAGTGGGTTAAAGGTTATGAGCAATGAACAGAGACAACACTCGAGTGAAAACAACCATGGAGGAGATGGCCTTTTCTGCTCCCCCTTTTGCAGCTTTTGGTGACGCAGAAGGACAGAGGGAGAGAAGAAAAAAAAAAAAAAAAAAAAAAAAAAAAAAAAAAAAAAAACAGTCCACCCACTAAACCACCAGCACCTATTGGCCGTTTCAGCTCTCTCTAAGGAGTAAAAAACGGCAGTTTAGCTCGGTAATCCCTAAACATGAAAGTAAGACACATGCCGACTGCCTCAGTTGCGACAGAATAACCAATAAACCCACGGTAAGGTCGCAAGCTTTAACACGACGGTGCTACTCTAGTCTGGGCCCGAATAACAACCGCCTGTCACTTCCTAGCAATCCGCCATCCTCAGCTGGAACTGCTAATATGGCCTGATCCAACACGTTGCGGCATGCAACGGGATGGAAAAACGTCACATCTAGGCTAGCCAGCTAATTTCTAACAAATGCCAAACTCCACAATATGTGCCCAAACGACCGAATATGGGTTACGTTTCGCTGGATTACAGCTCGCTAGTCCGAATAATATACACAGTAACAGCTATGTATAAAAGTAATCGTCTCAATGACCTTGTGTGGACAAACAGAACCGGACAGATTAGCATCTTGCTACCGCTAAAGTCGTAAACAGCCAATACCCCCCGGGCGTTTCCAACTCTTATATGTAGATTAATTCACTGCGACACTGTAATTACGCCACAAATTAGCTCAACTAGTTAGCACATAAGTCGTTTTTAATTATTCAGATGTTATCATATGTACGTGGCTTGGGGTCTGATCACAAAGTTCGCGGAAAGTGAGCACCATGTCGTGTTATTCTCGTACACTGAGACAGGCATACAAAGCTCCATCCAAAAAATGTCATTTTAAGTGTTTCGTGGAATCATTTTAACATGTACACACTAAATAGAAACTCACTTAAGGCTTGTTATGAACCGGTGTGGTGGCAAGAAAAAATCGGCACCCATGTGATCAGCGAATAATGGCGTTATTTCAATAAAATCTTATTTTATAGAATTGGGTCGCATCGCTCGCATCCCTTTAACACCGGGTGTAGTGGCAGACATTACATTGAAGAGACAAAAGCGGAGTTTGGCATAACCGATTTGTAAGTGACGCAAAGACCAATCCTTCGCCATTACTTGTTATACGAGCTGTGCTAATCGAGGTCAAAATAAATTGTCCTTGATTAGCAATAAGTGAATTTGTTCTCTTCATACACACATAACGGACAGATAACGTTGCCAGAGCTAACGGCACGAGGACGGAACAACAAAGACGCTAAGTAAGACGCTCGGAGGCTCGTGTTCAATTCTGTTAAACTGCCACGTCTTTCGCTAATGTTTAACACAACAATTTCACACAAGGGCTGTGTCTCCGGTACGCTGGGACACGTTTCACCGAGTTGTTTATTTAGACCGTTAACAATGTAACTAGGCCGTTGGCAATGCTAAGTTGCTAATAGCGGCTACAGTTAGCTAGTTAGCTAACTAGCTAACTAGCATGCTGCTGGATTTAGTCCTTGTGTGTGGTGATTTATGGTGAGGAAAAATACGCCTGCCTCCACCCAGGCCCGAGCTCTGCGTATGACTTAGCGCTGGATAAACCCTTCACTTCTAAAGTCCTACTGGATAAGACAGAGAAAATGTCTTACTGGCACGTTACAAACAAATGTTTCAACTGTTATATGAAATGGGGAAAAAGTATTAATAAAAACTCACCCCAACAGCTTTCAGCACTGTCACCAGCGCCGCTAGAAGCAGCACGGCACATTACGTAGTGATTAGGGAGGCGGCTACCGCGATATTTGACAACGTTAGGCTAACCAAAGAGCCTATAGGAAGGAGTGGCCACAACCGAGCAATTGCTGGTGAGTAACCTCGAACGTGGTCTCGCAATGATCCATGGGAGACTTGGAATACAGTAGCGTATAATAATGGCAATGTCTTCAATTACTTGCTATTTGGGCTCGAAAGCAGATAGAGTCATACGACAGTTTCACAGGAAATACAGTCATCAGCATGTCCTTCACAAGTTCCAGTCGACTGGTTCCAGTCCATTTAATTCCTTAAGAGTTCCAATTACAGACGTTTTCAACAATAATGCTAATATCTCCTACAGAACGAGGACTACAGAAATAGCTGAACATAGTAGAAAAGGTACTGCCAGAACTGGGCCCTGGCAGTAAATACAAAAAAAAAAAAAACTTATATGATTTTCTCAAAAACATTCTGGATGTCATGAAACCAAATACCACTTCACCATTAGTAATCAACTAATTCTAGTATGAATCAATATAATTTACACTCACTTCATTTCGTCTACAATCTAATATGATGCTACAGCTTTTCCATAAATGCTGCATTTAGAAATATAATAATGTTAAGTTTTGATTGTCACTGTCAGAGAGGTATTAATTTAACTACATATTTATTATTGAGGTTGTAGTTTGTAGTGGTGTTATGTTGAGAGGTGTTCCTAATATTTTGTGCATCCCATTTACATAGGCAGAATTTTAAAAACACACCAATACAACACCACCACCGACTGTGACCTAAATAATAAACAAAACTAGAGTTATAACGTCAAGTGTCAAGAAAAACTTTATTAAAATGATAAGCTTTCTGAAAGTAGAATTCATAGCAGAGCTCTGGCATCAAACTGAACTTGAACACCTAAAACTGCTGCGTGAAGACAGATGTTACAAAAGTTTTAAATAATTTTGCAGATAAATGTTAGTTAACGATGTCTGCTACATTAGCATTTGACTCTTAGCATCTAATAAACATTAATTCAGCAGTAATCGGAATTTATTTTAGAATTCATACATTTGAGTCTTCTGCGCAGGTAGTGACTACAGGTGCACCATGTGCTCACTTGGTAACTTTTGTTTAAGTAGAAATTGAAAAAAACTTTCTATATGACATTTGTTCAGTGTTGCGGTATGGACTCAGAAGTTTGGGACAGACCATTTAGATGAAAAAAAATCATATTTATAAATCTTAATTTACATGAAACAGTTTAAAATTGTAAGTGAATTAACTTTTTATGTATGTCAACATTGAAACCACAATTGTGGGACATGAACAACAATGTTGTGATTAATATTGATCTTCCTGTTGTTTTATATTGTGTTCTTGGCTAAATTGCATTTTGTTGCTTTGGCAACATTGTTTTTGAAAGTTTCATGCCAATAAAGCACCTTTGAATTAGACATTTTGAATTTGTCTTTCTTCTGGAAATAATTGCACATTTAAAGAAAAACATTTTCCTTAATTTCCTTTCGTTTTAATGTCCTCGACTCTTACAAATTCACCTAGATTTTCGTCCCCTTTTGTACAGCTGTTTTGCTTTGTTTTTTTTTTTGGATCATAGACTGTCATTACTAATTAATAACATTGAATCAATCAATATATACAGTTGCTACCTCACAAACTTACATAAAATCAGAACTCTCCGGTGGATGGCGGTGTCCATTTGGTTTTACGATACTCGATTTACACCAGTGAAGAAGAAGGTACGGAAGTGACGTTATCGTTCAGTCTCACGAAAACGATAGACTTGACAACAAAATAGAGTGTTTGGTTTTTCATTTGAATGTACTCCTCTTATGTTTTCTACAGACAGATATTTCCGAAGGCCCACAATAGTACGCACATGTTGCTTTAAGGGCATTGGAGCTGCCTCGGCTAGCTAAGGCTAGACAGTCAACGTAAGCTAACATTGCGTAGTGTTTTCACCTCGCTGGTAGAGAGAAGTAGCTTGTTTACGTTACACACAGGAGTTGGCAGTCTCCGGTAAATGGCCTGCACTTTAGAGAAAGTGTTGGGCGATGCTCGGACCCTTCTTGAGAGGCTGAAAGAGCACGACACGGCCGCCGAGGGACTGATTGAACAGTCCGGGGCCCTCAGCCAGAGAGTGCAGAGCATGAGAGAGGTGGGAAATGCCCTTCCAGACAAGGTAAGGACAAGTGTAAGGACGGTTACAAACAGATTTCAGTCACGTACATGGGCATTTAATGCTGCACTGCTCAACTGCACACATAAATGGTGGAACAGGATATAGTTGAGCCCTCAATTCTGAGAAAAATGTAACCCACTGCCCCTTTACTGCTCCCTCCGTTCAGCACATAGAAGATACTTCAGAGATTCAGGAGCTGACCAAATACAAGCCTCATGTCCTTCTGACTCAGGAAAACACTCAAATCAAGGAACTACAGCAGGAGAACAAAGGTAAAAAAAAAATAAACCCACTCTGTTCTGTTGATTGTAAGGCTGGTGTTTTATATTTCTGGTTATTCAATTCAGTTGAATTCAAACATAACTACAAGACAAGTGGACACATTACAGTCTGTATAGATAAATAAAAACAAACAATAAATGGAATGAAAAACGGAGGTATAAAAGCAGTGTGAGTACATGTACTCAGTAATATTGCACTTAGGTTAATTGCACAGATAATAATGCACGCGTACAGGACATGGGTTATGTACTTATTATAGCCTGATATTCAACAGTTTAGTGCTCTGATGGCAGATAAAAAACTTGTCAGGAAACTGGAAGTGCCAGTTCTTAAGGACCTGTATCACCTTCCAGAGGGCAGCAGCATGAAAAGGTGGTGTATTTCTGGTAACCTTCTTCATGACTGTCTCCGCAGAGCTATGGTTGTCTCTTGAAGAACACCAGTATGCGCTGGAGCTGATCATGGGTCGATACCGCAAGCAGATGCTTCAGCTAATGATGGCAAAGAAGGAGCTGGACACCAAACCTGTGCTCAGCCTCCATGAGGACCATGCAAAAGTACACTGGCTTTTAGCGTTTGCTCAGTCATTCACGGGACAGTATTACAAAGCTATAGATGTTGAGTGTTAGAAATACATTGATTTTGGGAAATGTCCTGCTTTCTTCATTCTCCAGGAAGTGCAGAGCCAGGTGGAGCGGATATGCGAGATGGGCCAGGTGATGAGGAGAGCAGTGCAGGTGGATGATCAGCACTACTGCTCTATTCGAGAGAGGCTCGCTCAGCTAGAGGTGAGCACAGTAGAACCAAAAACAACTGTAAATGTTTATCTGAGTGAACCTGTGCTTCTGTATTACCATATAAATATACCGTAATTGACTATTTTGTGTTAATACAAAACAATTTACATGACAGCACTTTATGTATATGTATAAAACTTATAGATGTGTTCATTTGGATATGGTATAAATACTATATGCCTTTTCTTAAACATATTTTAGCCTTAACTTCTGTGTGTTTCCTTCACTTTTTTTATCTCTTTTATACTGCAGCTGTTTTTTCTTCACTCTCACACATTTATTTATGTTATCTTATATATTGTATATATTATATACATATATAATGCATTTTATTTTCTATATTCAGAGTCAGCCAAATTTCTGTCCATTTTACTCAAGAGTTGGTTCACCTACACAATAACAACAACAATATGTTTTTTCATTTAGCAGTTTTGGTTTTATTTGCCCAGGTTTTGTGACGTCCATCTCTTAAGATATGTACTGCCACCCAAACAAGGTTAAACAAAATCACATTTGTGCCACTCACTGCATTGAAAAATCTTAATTTAAGGGACTATTTTTTTTTTGGTAGAAAATAGTTCCAATGATAACTGTTCCAATGATAATCTCTAGATTATCCATATAACAGACACTGTTTTTGGAAGTCGATGATCCTGTTTAGTTTGTTTAATTTCTGAGTTGTATTGGGTGCTTGGACACCTCTAGTTAATTTTACATTTTTGTAATTTTTCAGTGCTATAAACGTAATTCCATTGACTATGGAATGGGGAGGGGGAATCCCAGAGACAGATTTATCAAAACCTGCACTAATAAAACCTAAACTGTCTGCATGGCTAGATATCACTAGCCACTCAGATGCCCCCTTTAACACTCAATATTACACATGAACACTATTTTCCTTAAATGCACGGTTATCCTGTCACGTTCAGATTGAGAACAAAGAGCTGCGAGACCTCCTGGTCATCAGCAAGAGCTCTGTGAAGACAGCGAGAGAAGAAACCGATCAGCCAGCAACAGTAGCACAAGAACAGTCCCCTCAGCCAGGGTCCGACGAGTGAACAGAGCAGCTTCAGTGTGAACTGTGAATGGGGAATCAAGTCCTTCAGGACCAGGAGACAGGGTTGATGATCTCTTCACCTGTGTTCACCCAATTATTTTTTCTACATAAGATGGAATGCAGTCAGACCACAGCATCTTTTTTTTTTTTTTGTAGTGAAGGCCACTTTAACACAATATTTTGGCTATCAGTAGCATTTACCTGTGGGTGTATCTGGATGGTAGCTGTTGTAAGCTTTCATATGTACAGCATACGTATGTTCACACACACACGTACTGGAGTAAATGCAGTAAAAGCAAAGGGGATTAATTTTGTTTTGGCCAAAGATGCATTTACTCATCAAGGACACAGTTTCTACCTCTTTGTTGCCCCTTTGCTGTTCACTCACACTCACAATGTGTAAAATGCTCATGACCCCCACCCCGCACCCCCCACACCCCACACCCCCAACTATGAGTTCACTCAAAATCATATTAAGAAGCCAACTCGTAGGTTGCACCATTTTAAGAAGCTGTGCTTGATAATCACTCTGCCAACATGATGACTTATGGCTGTTTCACACAGTTTGCCTGCTGAGGGAGTGACGGTGGATCATTTATATGTGGTTGTCTCATTTTATGAATTTGATACGTTTGTCAGTCTGTTTGTAGAATTCATATATAACATGACTTCCATGTTTAGTACTTTGATTCTAGTTGTCAGATTTGGATGTAATCAAATGTTCCAGCTGTTGTTATTTAATGGTAACAATTTCAAAATATGCCAACTTTTTGTGTAATGGATATCAAATGTTTGCACACTGTATGTTCCCAGAAATTGTATATTGTCATCTCAGGAAATTGGTGTTAATAAGGTGAACATGCTGTATTGACTTCATGACAGTGTATTGATTTGTGTCAAACAAAATTTCATTCAGAAACTTTAAAATAAATTTGCAATAAAAAAACATGAATGTTTTTTCTGCCAAAACAAATCAGAGCACTTTATAAGGAACACCTGTACACCTGCTTATTCATGCATTTATCCAATCAGCCAATCATGTGTTCCCAGTGATTTCAACTGTAGACAGTGGGGTCAGAATTTGGAATCAACAGCATGAATCCATGGACCCAACCTGTCAGTCCTAGTGGTGGTCTAATAGTGTGGAGAATATTTTCTTGGGATAGGTGGGTAACTTCCAGCATGATGATGCACAATGTCATAAAACAAAAGTAGTCTCAAACTGATCTCAAACACGACAATGACCTCAGTGTATTTTTTATTTTTTTCAAAATTCTCCAGTATTCATAACATTTTCCATTTCATCTTAATAAAAACTATTAAACATTGAAAATGGAGGAAACATAACTTCTGAAATAACATACATAGTAAAATTATATGGACAATACAGAAATAAATAAATAAATAAATGCAAAGATAAGGATAATTAAACAAAAATATTCCAAGTATTTCCAAAAGGACAAGAGCTCAGTGTACTTCAGTGGCGGAAACCTGCAGCAATGATATGGAGGTGAATTAGTTTTTGGTTCATTCAACCCTTTTACCGCACGATGGCGACATTAAGCCGCGTTGGCTATAACGCATCGCGAGGTTTGCAGGAGTGACTTAGTGCTGCGTTCAATGTTCCAAGAAAAGGCATAACCGAGCTTTCGTCTTTTTTCATTTTTTTTCAGGTGTTTTTCTTTTCTCATATATTTTTTTATTATTATTAACAACATCAAGCAGAATAAGTAACATCTTCTAAACCGGCGTCACAAAACCCTCTGCACTTCGTCACTTGGTTGTTCCTCTGTGTTGGAAAATGTAAAAATCTATATTTCCTACAGCACGTGAAAGCAGCATCAGAGCTACGTTTGACACCTCTAGCCTGACACAAGCTAATGTTCAGCATGTCTGAAAAGGAGCTGGGGAAAAAGTGGGACCGATGCCTGGCAGACGGTGCCATTAAACTCGGTAAATACCCCTGATTCTTCCACATTTTACGACAGTGTCTTGTCCCAGAATAAGGAAAAACTAAGCAGCATTTTTTTTTACTGTAGTCCACTGCTGTCATTGACTGGGAGGCTAACTAGCTAGCCACAAAGGGCTTGTAAAGGACAACTGTACGACCAGCCAGATATCTATGACTTAATTAACTGCGACAGGTATAATTTTTTATGTTTCATTAAACATGGGTGCTGTTGCTTTAACGTTATACTCATTCACATTTACGTCTCCCTTAGATTTTATAATTTGAAGGAACCTTAGAGGAAACGCCATTCAGAAAAATTTTAATTTGATGCTTTTTGCTTATTGACACCTTTTGCATTATTTAATTAAAATGTTTATGAGACAGTAGTGCCCACAACTGAATTCAGCATATGTACAAAACACCAGCAAATATTTTAATACCATGTAAATTTGACATTGTCTCGTCTTAGAGCTCAACAGTTTTCTGTAAAGAACATATCTAGATATAAATGCCGGCAGTGAGCTGGTTAAAGTTAATTTTACTTATTAAAACAAGGCGTTGCTTGATGAATAACTGGTATTATAGACCAGTGAATTCTGCATTATCGCAAAAAGTCTGCAGTCATGCACGTAGGCTACTGCCAATAATGAAAGCACTCAAAATAACTAGATATTTGAATGGAGTACGTCATCATCTACTACATTAAGACATGTGCTCTTGAAACTGTTAGAGGACTTAACATCTAATTATTATTATTATCATGTACTATGGCTACATGAAAAATATACAATACATTCAAATAAATGTACATAAGTCAGAGACAGCATGAGAGCATATTCCTACAATATAAAGTAAAAATATAATAATATAATAGCTAATTAATTAATTAATTAATCATCTGTCATATTTTCTCCTCTTTTTTCAGGCACTGGACTGGGGCTGGGAATCGTGTTTTCTGTTCTGTTCTTTAAACGTAAGTAGTTTCAGTGAATTGTTGCTGCAGTGCATCTTGAATGTTTAATTTGGCTCCGAGGGCCTTGACAAGAGGAGCAGAGCTGGGAGTGATGCTCTGTTTGCTACTTTACTAGCAGTTAAAAAGGCTTTTTCATTTCTTTATTTTTTTATAACTGGACACATAATTCAATGATAATTTATTATTAGGAGTATTTAGTGCTTTTGTTTGTAAGACGAAAGCAGAAAAAGAAATGTGAATATTACAGTTACATATAGAAAAAATGGAGTGAAAAGGATTTCACACACCATGTCTGGTTTGTTTTAAATCACATCGTGAAGTGCGTGTTTGTGTATTTTAGTGTGTAAGGAGATATAAAGTTATCTGTTTGATTTGTAGGGCACACATGGCCAATTTCATTCGGCTCAGGAGCGGGACTTGGGATGGCATATGCCAACTGTCAGAATGACCTAAGGTCACATTATCTGCTGCACAGAGGCGAAAAGGTTAGTTTGTGCAATAAAATACATATGGATCTTAAAACAAGTTACAGAAATAATTCCTTATTTCTAATTCAAAATAACAGCCCTGTGTTGTTGTTTACGTAAATCAAGATGTGTGTAACTGACTTCTGTTTTCTTTAACAGGATTAATATCAGCAAGTCAACGAGGGACTTTTATTTTTTTTTTCTAATTTTGTTTTTGTTTTGTTTTTTTTGTTTTGTTTTGTTTTGTTTTTGTCTGTGCGAGAGTCACCATTTGCACTGTTCTACAGTTAGATTAATATCTCCCTGTCGATCCATCCATCCCTAGTATGACTCTGTATGATTTGTATGTGCCTAATCAGGACAGTACAGTCTGGGTTTATTTAATAAAATAATCATATCAACAAAAACGATGCCATGGTGATTAATGTTTCCTCACAATTCATAAAAACAGTACAAAAAAAAACCAAAACAAGAAGTATGTGATGGACTACGACAGCCAGATCATAACTCATGCAGTTCAAGTTGTATTGGTGATACTTGAAAAAGTAATAAGAGTCAAGTGTCAATGCAGCTTTGAAAAGGCGTGTTTTCCGTTTATTTGTGAACACGAGTGGGAGCGATTCTCTGAAATGTGTCAGGGAGGAAGGAGGAAGCAGCGATGCAAACGCTGTCCCATAAGGTGGTGGGCTCGGTGTGGGTGAGAGGGTGGGGGTCAGAGGGTTGGCAGCAGCCGATGTGATGTGGCAGATGACTGGGGCGCAGCGATGGTGGAGATTAGTCATGAGGGCGAATGAAAATTGAGAGCGTCGCGTATTATGTTTAGTATTTGACAATGCTATTGAAACGCTGGAGTGCACTGGACTTCACCCTTGCGAATGATGTTGTCTCATGTTTAATATTCAAGTGCTCCTGTCAGGGAATGAATAATCATTGTTGTCACGTCATCTGGTTGTTTAGCTTCAGAATGAAGTAGGAGCAAGGTGAAGGTACTTTGTTTTCTGATTGTTGAGCAGGAAATGTGAGTTTTATTTTAACCTTTATCTACTATTGACAAACTGTTTGTGGCACCAAAATGTTCCTTATCTTTGGCTTTTAAAGAATTTTTCATGTTTCATTGTTTGGAAAACTGAGTTACAGTGGATCAATTAGGCTTTTTTTGACACTGACAAGAGAAAAAAAAGTAATATTTGTATTCAGACCCTTTACTCTGATGCACCTAAATCATCACGACTGGTGCAGCCAAGATCTCACAAGCTGTATATCTTTTGTGTTTAATGAAGGTGGAAGGTGGTTTGAGATGAAATACACCTGTGTCTGTTGTCAATAACTACATCTTGAAGTTAGACAAGGAAAAAAAAAAATTTTCCAGACAAATCCAACCAAGGTTACTGAATAAAAGGAAGGATGACTATGGCATGACTATCACTCAGAAGAGAGGACAAGTATAAAAGATTAATTATAACTAGTGTTATTCAATATTGTAGATCATTAAAACTTAAAACAGTCAGAGAGGGTGAATATATATATAGATCATAGATTTAACTTTAAAGAAAAATCATTCACATCAAATCTTTATCATGCATAATAAAAAATAAAAAAATGCTGTAATAGTTGTACCTCAGTAGTTAAAAATACCACGAGCAAACGAAAGACCACCCACACCAGTTCCTATGATGCAGAATGAGCATTTCTTGGCTGTGATTGTGCATGGTTATGCATTAACAGCTCAATGCTTTGACACGCTCCTTCTCAGTAGGTGTGCGCTCAGGCTGGGAGGTACGCTGGAGTGGCCGACACAGGGATTAGCAGGAGCGAGCGGTATAAAGGCAGCGTTACAAGGACCACAGTACCTGTAGAGCTCTTATGAACGGAGCCTTGCTTACAAATGACTGCCGCACAGTTTTGTGTTGCTTTCTGCTCCCAGCGTGCCGTTTCCCTGAATAAAAGGACTTGTGAAAAGCAGCAGAGCACCAGCTCAGCAAAGGAGCTGCAGAAGCTGTACAATGCCACTTCTAAGAGGTGAGGAATAATTCTTTGGTGGATTTGGTCCTTGTATTCCTCATCTTCAGTAGTTCCTCTCGCCGGCACTGCTCTCATATGCCTAGTCAAGGCTCATCTCTCCGTGTGCCCTCCTCCAGTGACTGTCATCACTGTGACATGCTGCTTCGAAAACCCTCTGTCAGCCGTCGAATGGCTCATTCTGGCTCTTAGCTGTGGATGAGGCAGGGACATGGAGAGATGAATGAAACTCTCCTGGTGGCGGTGGGAGTAAGCCTCGGGGCACCCGGACGTATTCCCTGCCAAAGGAAGATGGAGATGTTTATTCATGGAGAACAGTCCGACTGACCTTGACTGGGAGAGGATTGGATGGCTTCTCAACACACGACCTCTTTGGCTTCCTTTTGTTCAACGATGTTCCTGAAGTGAGAGCTTTGGCCGGGAGGTTAACGCTTTAACATTTAGAGGTGGCTAAACAGGAACCTCAGGAGCTGGTTGATTGATCGCTGGGAACCTGGCACCATGGCTGACTCTCACTTGTCTGGCTCCGTAGGAAGCTACAACGGCAGCTTTCCCACCACCAGTGCTTGGAATATCACCGGCAGCGGCCCGTGGTTGTTGGCCTTCATGCTGACTGTCATCATCCTCATGACAGTCTGTGGCAACATGTTGCTCATCGCGTTGGTGTTCGCCCATCGCTCTTTGCGTTGTACCTCAAACTGCTTCTTGGTGTCTCTGTTCCTGTCCGACCTGATGGTGGCACTGGTGGTGATGCCCCCGGCCATGCTCAACGTGCTGTGTGGGGCCTGGGTGTTGTGGCCTGCCTTTTGCCCCATTTGGCTTTGCTTCGACGTCATGTGCTGCAGCGCGTCCATCCTCAACCTGTGTGTGATCAGCCTGGACCGATACCTCTTCATCATCTCACCGCTGCGCTACAAGCAGAGGATGACCCCACCTCGGGCGTTACTCCTCGTGGGAGCCGCTTGGGGGTTGGCAGCCCTGGCCTCCTTTCTGCCCATTGAGATGAAATGGCACAGCTTAGGCCTCGGGAGTGGACACCTGTCCATTCCTGGGGTCAGCGGTAGCAACATCAGCTCCTACTCTGACACACTGCACCCAGCATCCTACTTTCAAGTGTCACCATCAGGAGGCCTTTCCTTCCAGTGCCGCCTGCGGGTCACCTTGCCCTTTGCCTTTGTGGCATCTGTGCTCACCTTCTTTTTGCCCTCCAGCGCCATTTGCTTCACCTATTGCCGGATCCTTCTGGCAGCACGGAGGCAGGCGAAGAGGGTAGCAGCACTGAGCCACCCACCGCACCCACATCCCTCTCTCGGGGAACCTTCCCGGCCCCCTTCACCTGGGAATCCGGCAGCACAAGCTCAGCAGGACGGAGATGACTGCAGGTACCAGGAGCCTCCTGTGTCACAAAATGTACCGGTAAGAAAGAAACAGTGAAACAAACCAGAAAGGGCAGTTATACTCTCCAGGATGCTCAGTGTATGAGGGCCGACCAGCACATGAACAAGAACAGGGCAATTACTAAGTGAAAGTTCAACTGCAGCACCTGATGAAAAGCAGTGATGTTAAAATAGTACACTGACCCTTAAATGGAGCCGATCTTAATGAGCATAAAGAGGGAAAAGGTTGATTCTGTGAGTGGAAAAGGGTAGCACCAAGATCAGAACCAAATTACAGTTGTCCATCTAATGTAAGAGTTCTCCTTGACATTTTTAAGGATTTTACATAATACAGTTCATTCTACTTCTCATGCCTTTCCCTTAAAATGGCAATTATACTGTTGAAATCCTCTCTCAAGTTCAATATCTTGTAAGTGCAGCAATTATAAACCTGGAGATGGTTATTTTAATGATTATAGGCCACGGTATGAATTTTTTGCAGTCAAATTAGCATACTTTTTTAAAAAAAATCCTTCTAGGATCTAAGTTTTGAGTCTATACCCACTTTTTGCACAAGTGTCCTGATGTGCTTTTACCTAGTTTGGAAGTATATTTGGAAGTACGACTGACTCAGGTTTTCACACATGAGGACTTCGCCTTGGTGTTTTGGTGTCTGACAATAAACATTTTAAGTAGAAATATATAAAGAAAGATAAAGTAAGTATTGCGAGTCAAGTTTGACAATAAAATATAAAAAAATATTTAAAATATGTAAGTATATGTGGTAAATGTCATTAAACATGAACCTACTGAGCAAGGATGGAAACCAATAGAGGGAATGTGTGTGTATTGTTTATAGGTGTGTGTATTATTCATTATCAGCCTCTTTCAAAAGAATTAGTCAGTTGCACTCTGAGAAATGTTTTGCTCTTCGTTCGTCTTAACACAAAAATGTAGAAAAAAAGAGACTCAGGAAAATGGAAGAGGTGTAAAAACCTGCCCAGAAACCATGGTGAGAAAAGTACAGACAGTGTCAGATGTGATGTGCTGCAAGGATCACAGCCACAAAGTCTGTCACATTTCTGTGCGGTAAAAGAGCGCACACAAACACACACACACACTCACACACACACACACACACACACACACACACACACACACACACACACACTAGAAAAGACAGTTAAATTAAGTCTCAAAGAACAAGCTCAAGGAATTTAGTGAATTTTAACCCTTTAACCTTCAATTTTCCCATTAAAACTGGTTTAAATCACCTTATTCCTCATTGTCTCACACTCATATTTTGTGTCAACTTGTTTCAACTCTTCACTGCAGCTATAACCTGAGTGCAAACCTTTTACAACTGCACTATTTCATTAAATGGAAATATCCTAGATGTGGGTGTCAGTAATGATTGGCTGCACAGCATGAGTTGGCTGGCCCGACGGTCAATGTGGTTTAAGGGTCTCATAACATTGATATTTTTGAGAAAGGGAAAAGAAAAATAATCGTTTTTCTTTTGTTTTGTTTTTTTCTTAAAATAGTGACACTGTGATTGTTCAAGTCACATGTTGCAGTCAGTAGATAGATCTGACACATTCCTTTTTTTAAAATTGTGAAATAGCGTGACAGAAAGTAATGATAAAAACAAAACAAATAAAAACAAAAAATAATATATATATATATATATATATATAATATATAATATCTAATAATAAATAAAATAAAAAAACAGAAAATAAAAAAAATAGACATAGAAGAAATTATGATGATAGTATAGAGGCTGACAGGAAACATGGGAAGGAAGCACAAAGGCCACCACATCCTATATGTTGGTATCTGGTATGCATCATAACCATTTGGCTACCATTAAATATTTGTATTTGATAACATTTTTATGTGAATAGTTTTGTGAATTTGGGGAAATACACTTGGCTCTCTTGCTAAGAGTTAGATAAGAAGATTGATACCGCACAGCTTGTTAGCTTAGCATTAGGAATGGAAACAAGGGGAAACTGCTAGCCAAAGAGTTTGATTTTACAGCCATGAAATAGTACTAGCACGCAACTCTCTTCACCAAACTTATTGTTTTTTACATTTTGTTTTTATTTATTTATTTTTTACAGTATAACATGTTAATCAGCTTTAAAGGTGCTAGCTGTTGTATTTTTTGTTTGTTAGTGTTGATCAGAGCCAGGCTAGCTGTTTCCCTGTGCTAAATTAAGCTAGTAGCCTGCTAGCCGCTAGCTGCAGCTTCATATTTAGTGAACAAAAATGAGAGTGGGGTTGATCTTTTAATCTAACGCTAAGCAAGAAAGCAAATGCATATTTCCCAAAATAATAAACTATTCTTTCAGCTAAATTAATTAACTTGATAAAAACGTAATCTTTATGCAAACCGTTAATCAAATGCACAGGGGTATTCAGACATAAAGAGGTACCCAGAGTGTTAAGGAGAGATTCACATTTGTAATTCTTTTAAATACAATCAATTATAATTCTTCTTGTTCTCTACTGTCCACAGCCGTCTGTGAACAGTGAGCGCCGCCTGGCTCACAGGCAGGGTCGGAGGGCACTGAAGGCCAGTCTGACACTGGGAGTTCTCCTGGGACTCTTCTTCAGCGCTTGGCTGCCCTTTTTCATCACCAACATGGCTCAGGTCAGTCGAGGCACCGACACACTGACTCCATCACAGATATGACACAGAGGTGAACTGGAAAAAATACAGGTAACATGACATATTAGTGTCCCTCTGATATATGAAACAAATCTATTCAGTTTTGCCTTTATTCACACTCATGTTCTGTCTTCACCATTTAGGGCCTACAACAATTTCCCTCCCCATTTCACAAGTCAGTCTTTGTTCATATATCTCTGATTCAGAGGTTCTTTCTCACAAATTCCTATGTGTGACGAGCACAAAAACGGTGTGAAATAAATGCAAAAGAGAGAAAGAAAGAAAAAAAAACACTTGGATACAGATCTATTTTTTATTGGCCAGCCTTGGCGTCACAGCTTTGCCAAGCCATCCGACGAGGAACTAGATTGGCGTTTCAGCTTCATGTAGCAGACTCATTCCAAAGCCCAGAAAACAACCTAGAGAAGTACCATTTATAATTTATATTCTTTTGTTGTTGATTTTAATTTGACTAGATTGAGCACACGCACTCGTTGCTAAAAAAAAAACCCAAAAAAACAAAAACAGGGAAACAGTTCCATCTAAATTGGTAATGACACTTGTCCTGTTTTTCAAGCTTTCAATGATCCAGTCATTTTGATTTCCCATCTGTGCCCTCTCGCTTCTCCCCTGCTTAACATAGAGCACAGAGACTTGACTGTGTCTGCTCTCTCTTTCCTTTTCACACTCAATGTGGTGTGTGAAAGTCACCCCTCCTTTCTGTCCTATTCCCACCGCCTCCCTGTCTCATCTTGGTAGTATTGGAAGCTCTCCTTTAACAGCTGTCTCCTCCTTCTCTGTCCCTCTCTAAACCTGGTTGTTATGTTCAAGATCAGAAAAAAGTGATGAGCAGTCCAAGTGATTAAAGAGAAAAGAATCTGTCTTCTGTCTTTTTTGTAAAGATTTCATAACTCAGTTGTGGGATGGGGATTTGGAACAGGGAAAGTACATTCATAAATGTTCATTTGCCAAAAAGAAATAAACGTTCCCAAAAAGGAAAAATAAACGCATCAATAGGTTATAAATAAATCTTATATCATATTATATTACATAATTATAAAATCTCTGCAGGGTGCCTTGAAATTATTTTTTTTCTTTATCTAATTTATTTTCTTTATTCCTGTAATTAATTATTTTTACATTTTAACCACAAAATTAACTGATTGTTCTTTTCACCGTCTTCACTCAGGCAGTGTGCGAATGCGTCCCTCTTGCCCTCTTCGACGCCATCACCTGGCTGGGCTACTGCAACAGCACAATGAACCCAATCATCTACCCGCTCTTCATGAGAGACTTCAAGCGAGCTTTGGGGAAGCTGTTGCCCTGCTGTTCCTCGCAGTCGCCCAGACGACCCTCGCCGGCGCTGTCGCTCTCTCTACGCAACTCGGGAGAGCCTAACATTGCCAGCAGCCCCACCTCTCCCTTGGCCTCCGACCCCACCCACCCTCCTGCCACCGCCACTGATGCCGTCAACCTGCTTGACGCTGAGCATGCTGGGATTGAGCTGCCTATGCTTCTGCCCAATCAGGTCGACAACCTGGATTGAACAGAAGTTAAAAAAAATAAAATAAAGGTCAGCTCGTGTGTTGTGTGAAGGTTTATGGTGGAAGAGTGATTCAAGACAAGTATTGAGACTCAATTCAGTTCATGACAATTATTAACATTTAGGTTTAAGATAAAAAAAAAAAAGATTCAAATTTAAAATAATTTTGATCTATGAAATGTTGGAAAACCACTAGAGGAGTATTATTAAAACAAAACAGTCAGGGTTAAGGCTGTGTCCAGTTATCAGAGCCAGTACACTATGTAAGCAATGTAAACACCTTATGTAAGCTCTAAAGTGAGCAGCACTTCACATTAGCACAGGTGGAGGAGAGACAGGAAAGGCCTTGAAGAAGACATATTCACTGAGTTGCCCGCCGGCCTTATGGAAATCCAATTGCTGCGATAATATCCATAGCAACTGAGCCGACGGATGAAAGTTAGATGAGCTATCACCTGTTTTGTGGCATCCGCTGAATCCTACAAAACACAAGCAATATGTACAGGTATTTGATCTCACATTGAGTTTAGAAAATAAATTACGACACTATTTACAGTTCGTAAAAAAAAAACAAAATCTGCTCTAAATTGTTATTGAATTATTACATACGTCTAAAAATACCCGTTAGTGGTTAATTCTGGGGGCTTTTCACTTGAAGCTGCCGTATGTCAGTGTGTTGTGAATGTAAAAAATATTTTCTGGGTTTTGATGCAGAGGAAAACTTGAGGAGATGAGAAGGAGGCAGCTGGTCCTGTAACATGCTCTTTACACATTCGGCCGCCTTTGTTCGTGCGTGTGCTCCGTAGTCCAGTGTGTATCATCCCAGCTCCATGATATGTGTTCATTATCGGGGTCGGCCTCCTCCGCACCGTCACACTGGGCCTTAAAAGCAGACGCTGTGTCGTCATTTGTGTCCTTGTCCTTGGACGTAGGTGGTGAATTGTTCGTGACTGCGATTTGATTCTCCGCTCCTGTATCATTCAAAGAGTCCAGCAGGTCTGAAATATCAGGGATGTCCCAGCCGTCCCCCGTCTCCTCGTTCTCTTCCGCCTCCTTCATGTGTCCACTGTTTTCTGTACAAGTCTCAGCCCTCTCAGCTGGGTTTTGTGTCTCACTGGGAGCTTGGTCAGCGACGTCCACTGTCCCCTTTGTAACTGTTACAGGCTGAGGAAGAGTGAAGGAGGCTCCTGGGACTTCTTTGGTGGGAACCCCTACTGCCACCAAGATGGTGTCCATCTGACGCATGTAGTCCAAGTGACCTTTCACCTGGGGAGCAGAAACACGGCTTTAATGTCTGACTAAAAAAACATATTTCTGTAAATTACAGTGTAAAATCTTTTTGTAACTTCAGGTTATTATAATACTATTATTATTTTTTGTACAGCAAGTTTTACTATTCCCCAAGTTTATACTGTTTGGTGCTTCACATACAGTATGTCAAGTATGTTTTTACTGTCCTTTTTTAATGTTCAGTCGTGTGAAATGTTTAAACCTCTGATGCTTTACCTGGTTCAACAAAACATCTACCATGATAAATACTCAGTGTCAAGTTTGTGGACTCATGTTGATTTGAAGGGTGACGGTCAGGCATTGCAGTGAGCTGAAACAGACCAGCAGGGGGCCTTACTTTAAATTTTTATTTTTTATTATTTTTATTATCTTTTAATCTTATTTAAACAACATACCTGTCTATTTTAAAGTGCTATTAAAATCATGTATTTAATAACTACATCATAAAAAAATATATTTTATTATATCATTTTAATAACATTTATTATCAACAGTTTTCTAATTAATTACTAAAATACACATTTCTTCCACAAAAACATCAAGGTGGGTGTTTGTTTAAAGCTGCACTAACCAATGTTTTTACATGAACAATAGGTGAAATGATTATGTGTATAGAAGAGGGTTGTTCATGGTGAGACCAGACTCTGTAGTTCCTTCTAGCTCTATAGTGTTTTAACGTCTTACAGCTCGCTGTTTTGGTTTTATGTCCATGCAACTTCACTGCTTTAGTTAATTTCTCGCCGCTCCCATAAATCTTGTTTCCAGAAGCAGCTGCTGACAGTGAGAAAGCTCGAATAAAGCCAGGGTAAGCTACCTGCCCAGCATCGGACAGCAGACAGTTAGCAGCTAATGGAGTCAATGGAGACAAAAACAGCTACACAGAGTGAATATTAGGTTTACGACTCCAAATGAACACTAATGTTACTCTGTGTCTTCCGGATGTGTAAATAGGCAACAGTTTGCTATCATAATGTTAGCCGTAACAACTCCTCAGTAATAATTCCTCAGTGTTGTATAAAATAGAAATGAATTAATTCTCATTAAGGGACATGGTAAGATTACAAAAATTAACAGTTGAGAATAAGAGAATGATTTGACGAAGATTATTACCGCCTACTTCCCACCTCCTACCTGAAGGAGGTTATGTTTCACCCGTGTCTGTTTGTTTGTTTGACGGCAGGATTATTATCCCATTAAATCTGTTGCTGATCCAGTTAAAAGGATGGATCCAGGAATGTTTATCTTAAAAAATGGGCTACGTCTACTCACTGGAGGCTACAGTGAGTCGATATCGGAAAGTGATGAGACGGGTCGAGGCTAGCTGGTTAGCACGCTAACTTCCATAGAAGAAAAGAGGTGATAGAGACGAGGTGTTTCTTTCCACCTCTGGAGACAGCTCTGGGTGAGAAGAGGAATGAAGTTCGATGCTGAACTTGCAACACGTCTTCTAGACCGGTAGGTAAACAGCTGTGAATGCTAACGCTGGCTATGTAGCTTACTTATAAATAGCTCCTTTAACATTACAAGATAGGGCAGTTTTTTGACATTGATATTAGTCAATTTGTCAGGAAATAATGTTCGGATCTTGATGTAAAAAAATCAGATATATTTATGGTGTTGAGATTTATGAGTTTGTGCAATTTGGTGCAGATCCAGACAATAATCTGGATTTCACACACGTGTAGGATTGTTTGGCCTTGGTGGAGGTATGTGCTCGGAGTGCTTTTCGGTTGTGGATCGCAGCCTGTTCCCAGAGAAAGCACAGCGAACTTTTACCAATGGGAAGTATAATTTCAGAGAAAAAACATCTCTGACTTAATTATTTGTCTAAACCTTTATAACCGAAGGACAGAGCAGCTGCAGATGTATTATAGTTTTGTGTGTCAGTAATGTTTTATCTAGGACTGTGTGAGCTTTGTTCCCTCTTATTAAAAGTAGTCAAAGACCACCTTGTATTATGTCAGAGACTTTAATCCAGCAAACAAATGTGGCACTGAACACAAACCGAACCTTGAGCAGTGTCAGTTTGAGACGACTGCTGCATATGGGTTTTCTGAAAATGTGAAAACCTTGAGATGTGAAACAACCTTCAGCTCATACAGCATGCACCTGAAAATGTATTCATTAAAGAAACTTTCCTAATTTAAATATGAGCTGTGACTCACCACAGAGGAAAGATCCACATTGATTATGCGTCGATCCTGGACGTTGATTGGCTGTAGCCCAGCAACAGACAGTTGTGCCGCTGAACTCCGGTACAAGAACCCCAGGAGCCAATCTCCTCTGATAGGGAGATAATTCAGAGATAATACAGAGAAGTCATTTATTCCTGTTAGTACTGTAGTTTCCAAATCTACTGCAGACAAACCCCCTCACTGCAATATACAATGTAATATACAATGACTAAACAATGAGTACATAAAAAAACATTTAGTTTAAAAATGTCAACATTTTACAGCATTAACTCAGTTTTACCTGCAGTATCCGTTTACTATTTTTCCAGCCACTACCCTGGTCATTCTCTCCCAGGCCTTTTCAGAGCCGTCCACTGGGGCCCCCAGGAGGACCACGTCCTCCACCACCCCTTCACTACCTGTTCATCAAATCAATGTAGAATGTAAAAACCTCTGGAAAATTAAAAACTGAATTAGATTACAGTTTGATCCCAAAGGGTAAACCATATTTAAATTGTTTAGGGCCATCAACATGAAAATTTGACTCTGCTTCTCCGAGGATTTAGTAGAAAACATGATGATTTGTTTATCAGTGTGGCCTTTAAAATCATGACTTCAGCTCAGGGATATCTCAAAAAGTATAAACGCATTTTAAAAAATTTAAATGATTCCAGCATTTTGTCAGTCAGCATTAGGAAAAAAGTGTTCATACCTTGGTCATTGGCAAGCTCCTGCAGACAGTAGTAGATAACTCTTGCCCCAAGACTGAAACCTATAAGACTGACGGGGCGCTTCCCCTTCACATACAGGAAGGAAGGAAGGAAGGAAGGAAGGAAGGAAGGAAGGAAGGAAGGAAGTAACAAAGGAAGGAAGAAAGAAAGAAAAAAGAAAGATGCACAACTCTGAAGTAACTGTCATCCTCCTAATGTCAGAAATATCACTTATTAATATACAACTACCCCTTTTACAGTGACAGCTGACACAGTGCTGTGGTAACTACAGTAAAGTGTGTGATAACACAGGATGTAGATGTAGAACCATACCTGCTGTCTACTTCTCAAAACCTGTGCCAGATGTTTCCCCACCTCAGCGGAGCGGTTCAGACAAACACACCAAGGGTTGTCGATGACGCTGGCTGCCGCCAGCAAAGACGCAGGCCACGTCAGAGCCGCCACGATGCCTGCCCGGAGTGACAATAATCAATACAACAGAAGGACATTGGCTTGATGAGATCGTCGCGATTGTTAAACTCAAATCAACTCTTCACAGGCAGGAGATTTGGTTCCAAACACTCCTGTGTCAAAACACAGGTCCACTGAACAAAGACAATGCGATTCCTGCGTGAGCATCCTCCTACCTGAGAGCACTGTGTACTTGAGAGCCTCCTGAGCCACGATGCTGACCAGCCCGTCCAACAGAGAGGCCATGGCCGAGCCCAGATCCCGGAGGAACCGGGACTCCCACACCAGGCAGTACTGCTCCCCGCACTCGCCCAGGCTGCACCACGGGGCCTGGAACGAACCTGGAAGACAGCACTTGTGTTTTTATGTAAGGTAGGCTGAACGGATAAGCGGTACTTGAATGTGAAACTTGTCATTGAGTGTATGTTTTAGTGGTGGTGGTGGTGGTGGTGGTGGTGGGGGGGGGGGGGGTGCATTGTTTTATGTAAGAGCAAAATTTAAGTGGCTTGCATAATCTGATGTTTATGCGAAGCACTGCAGCAGCGTTACTACATCATGTTTTCTTATCAAATATTTTTCTTCACCTTTATTTAATGTACCAAGTTTTGTTTCCTTTATGCTTATAGCAACAACGGCCCTGGAACTTGTACCTCCTCTCTGACGGGACTGTAATTCATTCATTGCTCTGTAAACCGTATTCTACAGGCTTTAACTGCCATGGTGAGAGCAGCTGCTGCAGAAGGTAAAGTGTTTGCTCTGATAACAGACTTCGTACATGTGCAGGGTCTCTGGAAGGGTTGCGTTGTCTCCCACTTCTGCATGCAAAATATTAGCCACTTATCATGCTTCAATTCTAATTGTGTGCAAAGAGCTTAGATGTAATATATGATTATTAGTGATAGAACTGTGTGTATAAATCATGAAATCATCTTTCAGGGATTTCACCATTACCATATCATGTTTCCTGTGATATCTCTCATCGTATAAGAGCATTGTGGGCTATGTTGTGAATCAATGAGCAGGAAGGCAAATTTATGTTTAATATTTCATTGATTAGCCGAAACTAGACATTTTTTCTTTTCTCTCTTTTTCTTTTTTATTCTCTCTCATGTTTGTGATTTACATTTTTTACGTTGAGGTGAGGTTTTAATATAAGCCCTAGACTGGTTTCTTACCTCACCATCCACCTCCTCAATTTTGTCATTATGGCCAAAAACATGTTTTGTTAGGTCACTGTGGCCTCGACCTTTGACCTTTGACCACCAAAATCTACTCAGTTCCTCCTTGAGTCCAAGTGAACGTTTGTGCCAAATTTGAGGAAGTTCCGTCTTGGCGTTACTGAGATGTCGTGTCCACGAGAACGGGACGTACAACCCGATACAATATGTGTCTACATACAGAGTATTTGTAATGTTTTAAGTGTGACATCTAAAATGACAAACTGTATGTTGTGGTTGTAGTTAGACAACAGAAGCCATACTTACTATATTTACCACTGCAGAGCCAACCTGTCACTGCAATGGTCAGGTGAAGATGCTTCCCAGAGCTGAGCGGCAAGAATTCGAATTCCTCTATCGCCCCGACACACTTATTCATCTTATAGCCTGGAGCGACAATGTGTGAAAATTAAAGAAAGGTAAAAGAGGGGTCAAAGATGATGACTTCATCATGTCAATCATATGTCTTACCGGTCAATCCAGCTCCTGCTGCTCCAAACAAGGAGGCCATGATTGCAATACCGGTGGCTGAGCCCAGAGCAGCAGCGCCACCAGCCCCCAGAACGGCACTGGCCCCTGCTGCCACCAAAGGGGCCGCGAGCCCACCTGTCACACCTGGCAAAGGTGCAAAGATGACAATCAGTACAGAAAAAAAAAAGGCTAGTCTTAACACTCTATGGTGATTTAATTATCAGTTGATTAGCTTATGAAGTGAAGCCTATACTTTCATATGAGATACGAGATGTTTTAAATGTCAATTTTGAAGTTGGAGCAGCAATAATCACCAATCACAGTTCCTCCGCCCACAGTGGCTAGTCCAATGAGGAGGTAACGCCGTAACTTTCGCCCTCTTTCTCTCCTCTGCCGCCGAGAAGACTCCTCTCTAATGGGAACAGAGTCAGACGGATCATCGGTATTAAGTGAAATAATCATTGGCTTTAAAAATAAACGAGCCCCCAGTGCATTTAAGGAGACATCTTGAACCATAAGCTCCTTGTTTATGCCGTGCCACGCACAGTGCTTGTGCTGTTTAAAGTCAGTCTGACACACACACAAGATTCAACAAAACAAAACACACCGCAGTATCATTTAACATTTACATCAACTGAGGTTCAACAGCTCTTTCAGACTAAATGTAAGATAAAATGCGAACATAGCTACTGATTCACATTATCCATTATCCATCCTTCCATCCCACCATCCAATCACAACTTACTCGCTCTCCTCCCCTGCTTCCCTCAGTCTCTCTCCCAGCGTTTCCTCAAACTCCTCCAGCTGCTGTGGAGAGACTCGCAGCAGACAGCTGACATGACGGATGAGAACCCTCGACCTGGCGTCGTACTGGCCTGACGGTTATGTGGATGACAGACCATGAAAGTTATAAAAGTTACAGGCTTGTATGAATTTACACCAGTTTTCAGTGTCATTAAGATTCTTACCATCCTTCACAGAAAAAGACACCAGGTCCTGAAATACAAAACAAGAGCTGGTTGTAACAGGTTTGTAGAAATCCAGCCACAAGATGACTCCGATAAAATTTAATTATTTTAATAAAAGGCAAAGCAAAAAGCTGAACTGATCTGTTAGCATGACCATGAAATAAAATCACATTTGACCGTTAATAGATTTAAATATGATTCAATAAAATTCTATGTAGATATAAAAGCTACACATGAATTCCTGCAGGAAACAGCTCTTTTTACTATTAATCTATTTTTTTTTTTTTTGCATAATTTACAAACAACCAATTCACTCTAAACTTTCTACTTCTACTCTTCATCCACTACAGTTAAATGTCATCACATCCTCTGTTAGAGTGACAAACACCTGAATGATGGGGGTGGCCCCTGCAGCCAGCAGAGGTTCAGCCTGCAGGATGGAGAGGAAGGTGTCGGAGCCCTCGAAGCCCAGGCCCGACAGGAAAGCCCCCATAACCGGCATCACCGACTCGTCCAGGTCCAGCCAACGGACCAAGCCCTGCAGGTACTGCTCCCTGAAAACACTGAGAGACAAGTAACAGGTCAAGTCAAGTCACAGTTTAAACACTATTTTTCACAGTTTTGTTGTTAATCCAAATGGTGGACAAAGGAAAGTACAAGCAGCTTTCATTTGTGATTTCTTAGAGGTTCTAACTGGCTACTGCTGCTCACTTTTTTCAAAATTCAAAATCAAGCCTTTGTAAATATCTGGCTGTCATTGAATTTTATTTTATATGTACATACATGTAAATGTGTAAATTATGTACGAAACCCAGTATAAATTGGAACAATTTCATATATTGACATATAAATATCTAGCCTATACAAATATAGACAGTAGACAGATGTTACGTAAATATATATCCATCCCAAAGCCTGTCAATATATGTTGATATAATAAACAGTAGGGGCCAAAAGTCTGAGACCACTTTCCCAGAATGTGTAGGTATGTTTAAAATTAATAAGAAAAACATATATAATAATATAGAAATGTTTTAATGTATGTTGTTTTAATAAACTTGCATATAAATTGCATATAATAAATTAAATATTATATATAATATTAAAACATGTTAACACACGATTTTTACATAGAAAACATACGTGCTCTAATTAAAAATTCATCACATAGATATGTTAAACATGTGTACATATACAAATTTTACTATGGGCGTTTCATATATGTTCTAAACCTATATTTTCATATTTCCAGAGGATGTGTATATGTGCTAGTAACTGACCTTAACCCTTATAAGTGACATATATGGCAACATCACTCTTGATATAGGGACATATACTGTATGTCATATATTACATTTCTGTATGGGAGAAGAAGGTGAATGGCGGTTTATGGCTGACCATAAAAAACTGAAGCATGTACCCTTCAACACAATGAACACATTGATATTACTAAGAAGGACATTGTAGCTCTGTTACCTGTTGTCAGGTCCAGTAAACAACTGGCCCAGAGAGACACCACACAGTGCAGCATAAGCAAACCGGCCCTGTTCACTCAGCTGTCTGCCTTTAACTTTATCCTGGCTTTGGTCACATAGGGTTTCTTGTGTGGTCTCTGCCCCCCCTGGATCTGAGGTGATCAATGGACAAAGTGTAATGATTAACTTTAAGGCAGCAGTTTGATTCAGCCACATCGTAGACACACATGACACATTAGCACACGTCCAAGACACATTAATCATGAGCAGGAACCTCAAAGATGTTATATTTACACTCGGGCGTACACACATACAATGTGTATAATGTTTTTATTCCAAATGCAGTTTGGTCGATCAGCCACATGCCGAATTTATCAGGAGATCGTAATGATTGATAAGGGTCTCATGTCACGCTCCTCAGGGTCTGTTAATGTGACCTATGAGAAACGCAGCATTAAACTGTCCGATTTTTTTCAATGCAGTTTGGTTTGAGGTTTCGTTTTAGCCTCGTAAAGAGAATAGCTACATGAACTAGGTTACATAGAGTTTTTAACTTTGTGCCTTTAATCTCGTCTCTGATGAACTGACCTGAATTCAACATACAGAGACTGTTAAAATATGACCCACATCGGGGTTTTTATTAAACATCATTTACAGCCTTTATTTCAAATAAAGTCCGTGTAACTTAAAACAGTGAACGCAACACTTAACGTTAGCTGCTAAAAACAGCTGGCTGTTAGTCACCGTGCGGCTTCTGGCTGTTAACTAGCTAACGGTTCAGAGTTAACGTTCATTACGTCATGAATTTAAACACATTTGTTTTCAATTATATGAACTATATTGGAGGGGTTATTAAACAAATCCTATGTGGTACCTGGGGCAAAATTGTCGTCCGTACTGCACTGTTTTTCCTCCATGGCCATAGATATCACAACTCTGTAGAGTGAACTTTTGTTGCCTTCACGTCCTCCTCCTGAGCGCTGACATCTGACGTTTACACATTAGTGCGACAGTCACACATTAAAACGCTTTTAATGTCCGTCTTAATTAGAAATACAGTGAATTATATAATTGACTTACTTTTATATATAGTTGCTACCACCTCACAATAACAGTAGTTTAGCTTATAAAATACACATTTCTACGCTACTATAAAAACTTTTTTAAATAGTTTGCGTGGCTGTTCAAATTATAGTTTTGACATTTATGAGTGACCATGAAGGCATCATCTGTTAGAAACTTTTGAGTGACGTAACTTCCACGTACGCTGTGGACAGATCAGGGGTCTATTCACGATTAAAAACGTTTTGGAAAGTTTTGTTGTTGTTGGTGTTGTTGTTGTTGTTGTTGTTGTTGAATGAATGCATTACAAATATTTAGTTATGAATAACGGAGGGATAAACCAAAGACAGCTGGTTTTACTAACACTGCTTCATACAAAGAGGAAGAATACCAGTAAAAAGTCCTTGGTGACACAAGATCCAAAAATCAGAGCTAGTACAACCACTGGCCAGTAGGTGTGAGTGTAACATCAGTTCTTTTTCTCTTAGTAATTGTAGCAAGTATTAATGTAGTTCACATTTACCTGAATTATTACTGTCTATGTAGATTATTCTGACATAAAGCAATATATACTGTATATATATTTTTTTAATTATTTGCCTTCTATTCTCTTCTCTCCTTGGATCTCAGAGTTGATTCAAGGTCAATCTATGGCTGTCTGTCTGCAGTATCTGACAGTACATCAGACTGAGGGCAGTTGACTGCCGACCACTCAAGTAAACAACTTCATTCAAGGACACGGTCACACTGGTGTCATTTGATCAGATGTTGCCAGTGGCTGAGAATGCATCAGAAAACGCCAGTGTTCAATGGCATGTGGTTAATAAATGGATTTCATTAGTCTCAGTCACAAGCATAAAGAAAATAGAGCCTTATAAAAACACCAAGACCAATGCATTTGGAATGACTGGTTGGGATTCAGTGGTGAACTTGTTTATATGCAGAGATATAAGCCTCTGGATAATAATAATAATAATGATAATGATAATTTGACTTTATTTCTACAGCACTTTTCAATTCAAGGAACAAAGTGCTTCACATGAGTCAAATACAAAACATCCAAACAAATCAAAGTGACCTTAAAGTTAAGTAATCAAAAGAATTTGAAAATCAATCCTAAAATAAACAGGAAGCCAGTGTAGAGAAGCTGACAATGAGTGAGGAGCCAAGCTGCAGCGTTCTGAACTAACTGTAGGCGGTGTATTGATTTCTGACTGAGACAGGTATAAAGGGAGTTAGAGTAGTCAAAGAAAAGCATGGATGTGGCTGGAATAAAAAAACTTAACCTTGGCTTTATCTCTCAAATGATAAAAACGTGACTGCACAACTTTCTCACCTTGGGTTCAAAACACAAAACCTGATCCAAGATGTGTCATGCAGTGCCATCCATAACCTACTATATAGTATAGTATAGTACAGTATAGCATAGTAGTATGGTATAGTATGGTATGCTATGGTATGGCATGGTATAGTATAGTATAGTATAGTATAGTATAGCATAGTATAGTATATAGTATAGTATAGTATGGTGCAGTACAGTATAGTATAGCATAGTATTGTATAGTATAGTACAGCATAGTAGTATGGCATGGTTCAGTATGGCATAGTATAGCATGGTATGGAGTGGTATAGTATAGTATAGTATATTATAATTTAATATAATATAATATAATAAAGTACAGTATATAGTATAGTATAGTATAGTATAATAATAATATAGAACATTATTGAACAGTGAAATATAGAACAATATATAGCATGGTATAGTATAGTGTAGTATAATATGTGTACTAGTATAGCATACCAAAGTACAGTACAATATAGTATAGTACAGTATAGTGTTGTATGGTAAAATAGTAAAATGAAACATAGTAAAACTAAAATAAATATATCATCAGTGATGATATCTGATCAGACGACAGTACGATTATCTAACAGTACAGTGAAGCATGTCATAGTCTGATTCAGTGCATGTGAAGAGCCATTATGCTTCCAGCAGTATGTGGCTGTCACACTTTATTTTTTATCCAAACTTTTTTATTTCTTTATTCAGTACACACCATCATTTTATATATATATATATGTAGATCATATAACACTGATCTCTGTTCAGTTGATCTCTGACTCTCTCTTGGGTATTTTCAGACTGTCTGGCAGCTCGTCACCCACTCCCTTCCCATCTGCTTCATCAGCTCCTGTTTACTGAATATACTTGGCACCGCTCTCACCTCTCTTTTTTGTTTTCCAGCCCGAATGCTGTGCAATGACAAAAGAACAAGGCGAGCACCGGAAACGTGTGCGAGGGTGGATTAAACTTCCACCAGGTTTTCTTATGGAGGAACTGTTATTACAGTGTGGGCTCTTTGTCAAAATAAAATCCTTGGCCTTGTCACGTAGGAATCCCCAAAACTGCATCTGCTCCATTTGTCTGTCTCTGAAAGGCATCCTGTTTATACTGACCTCTGAGCAGTCTCTAGTGTATCATAAACAAGACTTTACCTGTAGCAAAGCCACAGTTTAATTACAAATAATATGCTGTATATCTTCATTATCTTTTTGTATCTTTTTTTCATAATATAAAAGCTGATTTATACATTTATGATTTATCAAACACAATGTCTACAACCAACTAATGATGGTATATAGATTAGAGACACTGTGAGAGAAGAGAAGTGCAGAGCAGGAACCTTGACAGATTTGACCTTTCAGCTTGCCTCGACTTGTAATCAGGGGAAAATAAAAACCCCCAGTTTTGAAAACCTTGAGTGTTGACAAGCAGTGACAGAAGAGATAATACGAGGTGAACTCTCGCTGTACCTTGGCATAAAATTCAGACTGTATTTGTACACCTGTGCCGTGCTCAATGTCTTCAGCAAACAGTACTTACATTTCTGCCATTACTGGTGAGTTTAGTATTCAAAGCTATGGTGGCGTTACTAAACACCGAGTGGGCTCCAACACTGTGAGAACAATCCTACACACCAAACTTGTGTTTAGAGCTGCAACGATTCGGCAATTATCAAAAATAATGGCAACTACACTGTCGCTCATGAAGTTGGAATATAAATATCTTTTACCTCTTTCCATGAAATGATTGTGACAATGTGATTTATTCTTGACAGATAAAGTGTATATCTTCTCAAAACTTTAGTAGTCAATCTCTTCCAAACATCACAATGAAAATGAAACCACAATTAAACTGAAAACAATATTATTCCAACTTAATGGGCAACAGTGTATTTTGATAATCATGAATTGTTTCAGTCAATTTCATGCAAAATTAATCATTAGTTGCAGCCCTGCTTGCGTTTATCCTGAACATGTCCATATTTGCAAATGCATGATCTCTTGCCATGCAAATATTATTTTAAATTTAAAGCCACCATATATACATTTAAAAATAGTGTGTAAGCATGCTCATACAGTGGCAAGAAACAGTAAGTGAAGCCTTTTGAGTTATCTTCATTTAGATATAAATTTGTCCTAAAATACAGTCTGATCTTCATCCAAGTTACAACTATGAACAAACACAATCTATTTTAACTAACGACACAAAAATCATTGTATTCCTCTTGTCCACATTGAATACATCATTCAAACATTCACAGCGTGGATTGGAAAAAGTATATGAACCCCTCGGCTAATGGCATTAAAAAAAAGATAACTGGAGTCAACAATGAAACCAGACTGGAGGAGTTGGTTAGAGACTTATAACAAACACTCAAACATTTTGAGTTTAATATTCACAAGAAACATCTGCTGATGTGAAACATGCCTCGCAAAAGACATCTAAGAAGACTTACGATCAGTGGCTGATTTGCATAAAGCTTGAAGGGTTACAGAGTCAGTCTAATCACAGTTTAGGTATTCATCAGCCCACAGTCAGACAAAATGTCTATAAATGGAGACAGTTAGTCTGAATGTGGCAACTCTCCACAGAGGTGGGCGTCCAGCGAAGACGACTCCAAAAATCTCAACACAGAATGAGCAGTGATGAAACAAAGGAGCTCAGAGAAATAGATAAAAGATTAAAAGGAATCAGTGGAGCTGGTTCACATCGCTGCTCATGAGTCTGCCACACACAAAAATGATGGTTGCATGGAGCACGGTGTCCTGCCATGGTCACCACAGAGGAAGCCGCTGCTCTCCAAAAAAAACATCAGGCCTGAAGTTTGTCAGAGAGCAGCTTGACTCTCCACAACACTGCAGGGAAAATGCTTTATCGACCGATGAGACTAAGGTTGAACATGCAGCATTATGTATAGTGTAAAAAGGTAAAAAGAGCTCTGTATACAACATGAAAGCATCATCCCAAAGGCGGAGTACGGTGGAGGGAGCTTCATGATTTGGGGCTTTGCTGCCTCTGGACAGATTCAAATCTTCGAGGGGAAAATAAGTTTATCAAGGTGTCTTACAGGATAATGTCAGGGTGGCTGTACACCTGCTGAAGCTCATGGACAATGACCATCAATATCAAACTAAATCTACTGCAGAATGAAATCCACCTGTTGCAGTGGTCCAACCAGATCCAAGACCTTAAACCAACAGTAATGCTGTGGAATGAGCTGAAGAGAGCCGCTCATACCAGACGTCTTTTACACCGTGAATCAATTAAGTTCAAGTTAGAAATGTGAATTCCAAAGATGCCTTAAAAATAGAGTTAACCGAACTTTGATTAAATATTTAGTTCAACTTCGTTTTATGAGTTAAATATAAAACTAACCGGGTTTACGGGCTGAATTCAATACTAACCTTCATTGTTTCAAAATAAACAACCATAATTTATCTTTGCGTGTATTAAAAACACAGTTTTAACTCTAAAGCAATGCATGCTGGGAAGTCTGTTAATATGCTATGTGTTGTGTTTTTTAAAAAAAACTG